TTGAATGATTAATTAACGAATACATCAAGACGGACTGACATGAATGCTGGCCCGTAGTCGGGAGGGGACATATTCTGGAACTTAATCTTACCCAATCTAGAAAAATGCAGTCTGTGAATCATCAAAAGAGATGAAATTATATACTGATGTGATGAACATTCATAAAACCATACTATTTCTTAATTATAAAGAAAAGTTCTTCAAATTGCTAAAAAACGACATTTATTATAAGTAGAGCGGGTATTGCGAGCACGAACAGCCGTCTTATAAAAAATGTTTCAAAACCGAGTAACGAAACTGTAAGGGATAAGTAACGGGCAAATATAGACCACAGCAGCTATCAATTTGCAAAAACCCGAAGTCTCTAGGTGGCCCAGGTGCCGAGATTTCAATGGAACAGACAGAGAGACAGACGATGGAAAATTGAGTACATAAGAGTTACCTCAACTTCGTTGTGTTATGCTAAAAACCTCAAAAAGTGCTGCCACTCGTTTTGCGAAAGCTGGTGTGAGATATTAGTTTACGGTGCGTAAATGTTGGCTGACTAAATTTAAAGAAATAATAGGATAGGGATTCCTTGTGGCGATGGAAATGGGACGTTTTTCTTTAACTCTTGCATTAAATTACCAACCTAGGTTGACATTATTAATATGGCTCTATCTACTGACCTACTCCTCGGTTCGGTTTACAAGTTCCGTTCTACATTACTTACACCCTTTCTGTGATTGATTCAAATGTTTCCCCCCTTCTCAAACATTTCTTGTTCACCCAAAATGCCCAGCTACCGCGCTGCCCTAATGCTTTTATTTCATAGTCACCTTATAATTATATATGTGTAAATTTTGCTTTATTGTCAGTTTTAGGTCGGTAGCGTTTTTAACTAAACAAGTGTTACACATGTATTTTTTAAGAATGACGGGATTTTTCAAAATAAAAAACGACACGCTATTAAAATAGAATTGAAAACCAGGTTTGAAGAGTACCTTGGGCGGCCGCCCCAGGATACGCCCGGACCCCCGGAGAATTTTTTGAAAACAAACTGCCTAATTCTATTTTTCTTTTCTTTCAATCACATATCATATCAAGTACGGATTTCCACCTTGCGATTTCGTTGGGGGATATGGTAAACTGAACTGTGTTGTCAACCAAGAGCTGAATTCTATGGCCTATGGCTGTTGGTAAGCATCTGAGTTAACTGTCTTCCAAAACTCATGTACCATTTTCTTGAGGATGGGCCAAAATGAGATATCTTATTGAAATTGAATAGATATCGCTTCCAGAAACGTTATCGTGCAATGCAGGGGTGTGTTACACACCCTTTCGTCCGTCTGTTAATTGGTCTACGCTACACATCAGTGTCTCATAGCTTGCGTTCACTCCTTGGTAATATGTCCGGCAGTTTCGATTTTTTTTCCATTTAGGAATTCGAACCATTCGAACACTTTGTCCGTCAGTTCGTCCATCTAGAGTAGACCGTTGATTTGAAATTTTGGTGAAAGGTGTATGGTGATATCAGTGTTTTATGATCTAAGAAAAATGACGTGTTGATACTTTTATGGCCAAGTTACGTAAGTTAATAGAAATTTATTGTTCTTATTACGTTTACAATACTTGCTAGTGTTGTACTATATTTGGTAGCAAATCGATTCCCAGCACTGGCCTTCGAAAATATGTATTCCTAGGGGCGGTGGCGTTGAGGAGAGTGGGAACGAGTTGGCTTTAATTAAAAGGAAAGTGATTCATTGTTGTAAATCGTAAACATTATACGAGCGCTCTTTTGTTCTAATGAGATCTTATTCAAACACATAATACATACGAACAATAGGCTAAAATAAAGCAAATATGTATAGCATTTTTATTTCAGAAATATGCGCATGTTGTATAAAATGTAGTAGGCAGGTTACATATTAATACGTGTTTCGTTATTCCCTTAAAAAATTTAAAATAATATCTTGCATGTGTAATATATACATGTGTAACATTAGTTAACCCTATAAGATCGATCTGGTATTCATATTTTATTCCCGTGTAGTCGTTCTATGATAAAAGCAAATTATTCATTTTCATGTGCATTGCCTGTAATTTATATGTTATATGAATCACTGTCTGATTTGGCAGGAAGCTTTATGGCTATTTTCAGTGTAATAATTTATAACTATCTCTTCCTTCTAAAAAAGATGTGAATGAATGAATAATTCGAACAATATTTTGTAGACAAAATGTAGTAAGTTATTTATGGCCGTCATTATGCGAGTAAATTGAAGTGGAAGATTTTATTATTAAAAGATTGTATTGACAAAGACAAGTTGCCGTCGTCACACGGCCACAAGCTCTCATAAAACCGTCTTTTATCAGCCATCCATCATTTATTAGTTTTTGACATGATTTACATACCTAGAGCATACCTACTGCAGGCCATTCAGATATATGACATTTGAAATCCTTAGAAGGTGACATGCAGCAGGTGACCAAACAAGATTGCAACCTTTGATAAATTATTTTAACAAAAAAATATTCAAACGCATCAAATTTTGTGTGGTAGGGGTGGGGGTGGGTTACATTTCAGGTCTCCAGGTAGTAGTAGAAAGAAGCTTAACTATCACAGAGGGTGGTGTAACAACATTAAACCTCATTGCATTCTTCAATCGGATCTAATATTTTCATTTTCATTAAATTAGCTTTGGTTTCCTCATGAATGGGATAGATACTAGGGATGCGAAAAATAATTGATATATCAATAATTATAAATTAGATAATTTTTTGCAGTCCTAATCGGGATATGCATAAAGATAGTGAAAAAATTCGTCCCATTCGGATCTCCGTTTATAAGAATTTTCCCTTTTTACCAGATGTGACCATTTTCATATGAATAAAATATCGATATAACGATAATCGACAATTAACAAAATCGATAATCGGAAATATCCATAATATCAATAACCGATAGTATCGATATTATCGAATAATCGATAGTGAATCTCTATTATCGCACGGCACTATAATGGATCTAGTACAATCAGAAGTAATTTTCCTACCCCCACATCCATACAAACAATATTGTAGGGTTCTATTTCAGTTTGATCTTATTAGAGACTTGAATGAGGTAATGAGTTTTCTGTAAAATTCCGCGAGTCCATATCATTTTTAAAAATATGAACTCTTGGCTAAGAGGATGAAAATGATGTAGGACTGCAACATTTGAGATCGATTTTATGGTCTATCATCATCATCTGGTCATCTGGAAGTGGTTAAATAGTAGGAGATATTCAAATCTTCACGTTGATGCTGTGATGAAGATAACAGAAATGATTTCAGGAAATATCAATAATTATACAGATGAGAAATGGTAATAGATTGATTCACAATGGGATAGCTTTGTAAAGTTTGTTGCCTATCTTCCAGGCTTCCAAGGTAGCTAATTCGAGGAGTGATCGGCTCACACTATTATAAGGATGACCAAAATTTTAAAGAAATGCTATATCCGCCCGGCTATCGGTTCGTCTGTTCGTCCGGCTGGCTGTGACGGACGTTTATTGTAAAAGCCATCGACCTGTTTCATTCGGTGTTTTGTTCAGCATGGTCCTCAGGTTCAAAAAAACAATGACACGTCTGGTTTTTGTACGCCCGTAAGTTTGATTGATGGTTGTAAAGGACAGAAATATGAAACTTTAATGATGCTGTGTTTATATATACCGAAAGTTTGTGGAACATCAGGTAAATGAATTCTGGTACGCACCTACTCACGTTAGAAGTGCCTGAAAAAGGTGCCCGCAAAGAGAGGTGGTAAGTTTAAAGAGTTGGTCGTACTTATACAGTTGGAACCAATTTAGTTAGAGAAAAGACTAAACGCACTTCATTGTTGAAAGCTAATATTATGCTCCTGTTCTGAAAGAAGTTGTAATGTGGAAATGCTTGCAGGAGCTACCGTTTATGTTTAGGTATCCTTTTTGTTGACCTACATGGTGAAATAATACTCAAACAGATAATGGTTACAATTTTGAAGGTTTGTGTTAGGGGTTTACTATGGAACGTGTGGGTTGTACTATTTGCTTTAATGAAAAGCGGATAGAAAAATGATTGTAGAATTTCTGCGTTATGTAACCTAATTATTTTAATTACATACTATTACACTGAATGCAAAATAGTTTCGACATTGACAGAGTGATTAATATTAATGTTTTTGGCGAGAAAACTATGTTTTCCAATTCGTGTGCTTTAATTATGAATGGTAATAGGAGCAGCTGTATACGTGTAACATTTAAATTAATCGACATACCTACTTCTTTTCAGCTTGCGAAACAACTCACCATACGTTTTGATTGCCATGGTACCCGCAGTTCAGGTAGTTAATTTGGTGCAGTCAACGTTAACACCCAAATTGCGTCATGTAACAATCCATCATCCACGAGATCTCTAACCCCAGTTATTCAAGTTGCTCTTGTTAGACGTCAAAGATCGTGAGAAATGAAAACTGGTAACAACAGCTTCAGTTTCAAGTAATTCCGGTTAATGAAGAAATTTTGCGAAATTTCTTCTTGTTGCAGGTTGAAGTAATTTCCCACATTGTAGGTACAACATTTTACCGTAATGGAGACGTTTGCAAATTAGTATAATTAATCATAAATTGACTAAAATAGGTTTAATTATGACTAAAGTACATGATCTAGCGAACTCATTTTCATTACGCAAGTGGTCACTCTACACTATTTACAGTCTGTGGAAATGAATCAAACAATCTCTTGTGATGTAAAAAAGAGGCAGCTGCGTCTGATTTTATTACTTTAATGAGAATTGCGGAAAATTCTGAAATTCTGTAGTCATAAATTGTCCCAAAAACAGTTTTTTAATATAATACGGCCCCGATAACACAAATCATTCGCCATTAGTTCCTTTACGATAGAATAATTTTCCTCTGACCGCAATTTGCATATACCAAGTTATTTATTTGCTATTTGATAAATCGCAAAAAAAACGACGCTAATTTATTACTTTTATTGCAGGCTTTCATCTGAGCGGAGTGGTGACGGCCTGCCGCATATCGCCTCCTCCAACTTTACCCTGTGGAGCACCGGAGCCTCCTCAAAGATTTAAAGTTTCAGTTAGTTTTGACAGGTGAGTTAAATAAACGCACCCATCCTCTTTTCCCAACTGTCGCTTGGAATTGTAGAAACAATGTACCTTCCGAAATTTAACAGTTCTATTAATATTTACGGGCCATAAAGCAAATGGCGGTTTCACAAAATACAATTTAACTTTTTTTTCTGAAGATAGATTCTATCAGTTTTAAAGCCATTGATGTTCTGAAAATTTATGTTCTGACACTTTTATGTAGTGGAATTTAGAGTAGAAGATCTGAGATATGTCCGTGTAAATGTATTTTAACTTCCTTTACTCAATCTCAACTTTTTTCTCCATTGCGAGTTTTACAAGAATCAATAAATATTCGAAGATTAATTATCCATTCTCAACAGACATAGATTAAATATTGAAACGTTCCATTGCACTAACTAAAATATATTGTTGGCATTTGCCAAAATTGTTCAGGATATCTACATTGAAAAATTTCTTTTTATTCCTGCGTATCGTCTTAGAATAGATTCTTGCTGATATGCTGTTTAAACTGCTCGTCTCTGTCATCTTTAATACAAGTGAAATCTTATAGGTAGAAAACTGACCCATAACTAAGTACCTACTTCAATTCATTCTACAGGTACCTGAGGTTCAGCTGTAGATTCTTCCGTACTGCAATATCTATATAAATAGTAAATACAGGAGCGTTCACTGTACTTTAGCACTTTTAATCGTAATTATATGATTCTTCTTACTTACTTCCTCTTACGAAAGGTAAGATTATTCTATTATTGGTCTAAGGATTTTAAAAATTCCATTTTCACTTCGACCATAAAAAACTACCTACAGTACGTTCAAGGAGATTGGGATCTAAGTACACCTGTGTACACTTAACAAACACCATATTTCACCACTAAAAGACAGAAACTAATGATTTCAGTTATTTTTGGCTTCTGACCAGTTCTGAATATTAATAAAATGGCATGAGCTCTGATTTATTCTCATCGTACAATCAAGTCTCGACCAGTTTGTTTCACGGTCTGTTACATAATTAAATTTTCAATCAATATTGACTATAGAGCAGTTAGTGTTGTCGCGACGAGACCTTTCGTTTCGGCCTGGTTCAGTCTCGTCTCGTCTCACTTGGTCTCGCAATACTATTCAAAAATGGTGTAGAGCATATAAACGGCACTATGAAGGCATGACAAGTAAATAATAATGACCTTCCTTATCTATCTGCTAATTACGAAGCATATTTTCTTCTGTTATGCGTATTTTTCTTATTCTGCAGCTAAAAAAATATTAGTTTTCATAAAATGTATCTGGAAAGTGGTAATGGAACTAGGTAGGAAAGTCTCACTGAATTCTTTGTTATACTTAAATACTTAAAGATAATCGGTCCAAGTCCCATTATGGCGAGCGGAACCAGCAACCAATCAAAAACGAGATACCCGGTTGTTGCCACTGTTCTAAAGGAACAGAAAAAGTGTTTTAATGGCAATTGTGCTTCAGCGGTGGGGGTAAAAATGTATCTACAAAAAGGGTATTTTTGCGGTCTTACGATTATATCTTGTAAAAGACTCACAATATCGAAAACAAGGGCAATAAATTCTGTGTTGAATGAGACCAGGCGAATATTTTTTTGGGCCCGTTCCTGTGTTAGTGCTCAAAGAAGTTGAACAAATTTGAAATATTTATGAAAAAGGTTCGTTTTAACATCTGCTTTTTGGCCGTACCCTCTAAAAACCCAACTATCAATCAACCACTTTGGTCTATACAAAAGTTGTAGATGAATAAGTTCTACAGACCACGTGATTGTTGTCACGGCCCTTGAGGTATCACAGGAGCACGCGAAAGTTGTAGTAGTTGTTGAGGGTAGGGACCTCCTCATCATGCTCAATGCTTATCAAACATATATTTTTAAAAACCTGGAAGAGGAACGACGCCATCAAAAGAATTTGGTCCCAACAGCTTCAAACTGGCAGACAACATCAGAAGGCACTTCAGCACCATTTAGAGACGCAAGAAGAAAGTGGTCAAAAATAAATATCTTTCCAAGAAATAAAACCTTTCTCCGAGCACTTAAGCTGAAGCTATTGCCGAAGCTGACCTACGATTTTTGACAACCTTCTACAAAGCTAAGGCACTAGATACTTTAGATTAATTGCGATTTGACCTGTTTTCCAAAGCCCTCGTAAATACAAATTCAACCTGGCATCTATGTCGTTCTCCTACACTACCATCAAACCAAAACTTCTCTATATTTTAATACACACATTTTGGTAGGGCTTCTTCAAATTGTAAGGACCCTAGGCCATAATCTTTATAAATAGTCAAGAACAATTCAAGATACCAGATGCTTCGGATTATTTAAAAAAAAGTTTGCGAATTTTACTGAACTTAAGCTTTATTTGTAAAAGTGGTTGGCCATTGTGGTCATAGTGACTGTTAAAAAAGGTGCATGTTGTCCATTGTGATCGTAGTGGCCTTCGTGAAAATAGGCGGAAGTTGGCCTTTGTGATCACGGTAACTATTGCGATTTTTTTGGTTATGATCACAGCTTGCCGTTGTACACTTTCATAGAATCAAATAACGGGCGATCAAAATTGAGTTGCTGTCGAGTCGCCTTTGGAAGTTCCAAGCAAAGTACGATTTCCAATGTAAACAACAATTCCAAAGGTGACTCGTAGCAACTCATTTGATCGCCCGTTACTTATAACGTTAATATTTGCACCCTTAAAATGGGGTGATTTACTTTATTTATTTTATTCAGTATTAATTACAACTTGCTTTTTCTTTCAGATGTAAAATAACTTCGGTAACGTGTAGTTGTGAGACGAAAGATATATTTTGGTGCCAACACGTTGTGGCACTGTCCCTGTATCGAATTCGAAATGCCGAAAGTGTTCGACTTCGTGTTCCTATATCAGGTAAGATTTTCTTTGTGTTACTTTGTTACCAGTGACATTTTTCATTCTACCGTTTTCCAATCAGCACATCAGCAACAATCTCGACCTGTGAGGTATTGATTATCAAAAACTGTAACGCGATTTCCATCAAATTGGTACATAACACCCCAATCAATTTTTTTTAAGAATATGGCAAATAAACGTTTTCCAATCGTCCGTATTTGCCACCATGGCATTATATAGATCCTTTCACAAAATTAGCCTTAGAAGAAAAAAACAAGTAACTTTTAAAACATGAGACCCGTGTGAATTACAAAAATAAACCGCGCACTTGTTTGTAGTCGGTGCATTAACACTTTACCCCTGATGCTAAATGGAATTTTTAGTTGGGTCGAAGAATAATGTGCATCAGGTCACCTGTCCCACACGCACATATGCATCAAACATGTGGGGTGACGCCGGTATGGGGGAACCACTAACAAGTCATTTACACATGCCTTTAGCGGTTATCACCTGCTGAATAATAACAGCTATTTGTTAATATGGCCCAAACAAACGTGGGAGTACTATAGATCCACATAGCATTGAATTGATTATGAACTATTAGCCATATTTGTGCGAATAGCGTTGGTTGCATGCGATTTTAGAAATATGTGGATAGAAAATTGTTTGATGCGAGCAAAATCCATTGATTACGTTATAGCTGTATCCACAATGTAAATCTCTTTGATGTATTGGAAGACTAAAGCATTCTGATTCTGGGTAGCTCAAGCAAATATGTATGCTGGGGTAGCATTTTGCGAAATCAACCATAAATATTCTGTTTTAGACGTTTTACTCAAGTGCTATATTAGGCGAAGTATTTTCATTTTATTAACAAAAAATCCACCTAAGAAGAGGTTACAGTATTATTGTCAATAACGTCAATGTCGTATTATAAAAACTCCTAGAAACGAAGTATACAGGGTGTTCTTAAATATGGTGTTATGAAAGGGGCAATTCCCTAGCTTATTTTATGACGAAAAGTTCATATAAAAATAGGTCCGCAAACGCTTTGTTACCGAGAGGGTGTTAAAATTTCAAGATTTTTAAGTTCTTTGTTTATCTCCTACAGTTGTTGAGATATTTCGCTCAAATTTGAAATATAAGTTACATTGAAGTGCTTATCATTGGTCATACGTAGTGAGAATCTAGAATGTGTTGTTTTTTCAGGGGTCATGTTCCATTTTCTCCCCCTGAACTTTTTTATGTGCGCCACTGGTACATTTTGAAATATGCATTTCATTTTCTGCTCTGTTTAGAAACTTTTTGGTCTCTTTTATCGTTATCGTATCGTAAGACCCCTTCATATGCTATATTCCACAGTGTTGATCCTAAACCCGAGCCCTGTGGTACTCCTCCATTTACTGTAAGTTCCTTGGGATGGCAAGCATTTTTCTATTTGTTAAAGTAACTATACACAGTTTGTACATCGGTTTTTGTCAGTTCTTCCATAATGATCTGTGTTGGTAACGCAATGCGTTTTTTTTTACCTCCCATTTGACAAGCACTCCGTGTTCCTTTTAGTGCCTCTTGCGTCAGTGAGTTTATTTTGGCAATGGCATCCTTAGTACCCCTCCTTCTTCTAAAGCCGGATAGTTCCGTGGGTAAAGCTAGGTGACTATCTCTTCTTCCCATTATTACCTTTCTAGTAATTTCCCTAGATGACTAATCAGAGACATTGGTCTCAGAGTCTGGATCTTTTTTACGTATTACTACCACTTCCGCGTTTTTCCATTCTTCTGAGTTATTTCCTGATATCAGAACTTGTTCGAAAGCCTTACCAAAAAGGCCGGGTGTCTCCGGGCCGCGTAAGAAATAAGCTCCGGGAGAAACCCATATCTGGTCCAGGCGCCTTCCTTCTTGGTATCCTTTCGACTTCTGCTATCTCTATTAAACTTAGGTGAATGTCATTATTTTATTACGAGTTTTATTATTATTGATTCCTCCCTTTTCTTTTTAGCGCATTTTTTAAGAATTAAAAAAAATGTGCTATTGTTTGCGTTTTGTCCGTCCGTCCGGATCCACTTCTGCCGTTTTGAACTACTTCTAGGGGAATTGTCCTACAGTCCTGGAATTTTTTGCTGTAGGTAGCCTACACCTTGAAGGTGTTCCAGACGGCCATTAAATTTCGCTGTCTAAAAGGGGGGCCCCTCACGAATTATTTCCTGAGATGCTGTTTTTGAAAGTAAAACGTGCATAACTTTTACATACGGCAACCAATTGGTCTCAGATTTTTTCTAGTTTCTAGTGTTTATTTTAATTACGTTACTTAGTCGGACTGAGACGACTGAGTAAACTGAGTTTGTGTTCCTCCTGCTTATTCGTTTTCTGCTCATATCTAGTTTTCCGTTTGCCAGCACTTCTTCTCGCCACTAAGCAGACTCGGTTTGAGTCCGGTACTTCTTTGTCGTTTTTTTTTGGTTTGTGTCATAACCTCGTTACGCCAGTTGTTTATCACTTTTGCAACAACTCTCCAAGTTATCCGACATCTAATCTATTTTGTCGTAAATATGATGACCGAAATCAAAATTGCTATCGGAAATCACGTAGGAGCCAATAAGTGCAGCTGAATAAGAAGATGACAGTAAGATGGCGAAAACAAAGATAACAATCCCAGGAACTAAGCAACCTCTACTATATTTGAGGTACGGCAATGAAACGGAAATAAGCACAAGCGAGATAAATCGCATATGTGTAAGTACCAAATGATGCCAATGGGTTAACCAAACTGATCTCCCGAACCAAGAACGAGACGGTGACTAGATAGCAGATGGCGAACTCAACTATCTCTCTGAAACACCTAATTTTCGGATTTCTGTTCATTAAGACTTTTTGTTTCTTTTCAGATAAAATATCCAACCTTATTTGAAACACCCTGTATATAATACTCTTCCCTTATATTGACTGACAGACAGACAACGCATAGCCGAAACTACCGGGCGTAGAAAGATGAAGCTTGGCATGGTTAGGGGGAATTGTAGGGGAGCACTAACAGAGGATTTTCCGAAATTCCTACAGGAACTGGAACAAAACTGGATTTTACGTTTTACAGTCGAAAGTGCGGAAGATAGAGACTTGACACTTGGAACGTAGGTTTCTTTGAAGGCGTTAAGGTGTACCCCGAAAGCTGTTCCCGAAATTCTCACTGGAAGGGGGAAAACTGCATTAAGACAGAGGGTAATGTTTATGCGCGTACGAAGCCGCGGGAGCATATCAAGTAGTCTATAAGATCGTTTGTCCGTCTGTCTGTCTGACTGTAGTCGGAAGCAGTTTTGTTCAGAACTCATCCAAGCGACAGTATTAAGCTGTATCTGGATCTCTTCTGCTTTCTCGATCGTATACATCAAGGTATACAGATAGAAAGTAGGATTTCAGAAAGAAACTTTTAAGCCTAAAGCCTTTTTTTATTCTTAATTCCAAAAATTATGGTACCAGGTACAACCTACTGAGATACCCAAGTGGATAGGTATATACACGAAAGTTCTACCCTACGCAAGACAGACGGGCACACGAAGATAAATTGGGATCCCCTCTTATTCTCGTGTCCTTTATAAAATACACAATTCCGTAATTATACTTGTATAATTATCGTACCTAGGCGAGCTAACCCCGATTTCCTAGTCCCCGCAATGTGTTAAAGATGTAAAGAAAAGAAATAATTGGTGGATTAATCGACAAACTTAGTTTGAGAGTTCGAAACATGCTTTTTGCGTAAGACAAAATAATATTAAAGCATGTGAGTCCATAAAGTAAGAATATTACATGATCGTCCATTTTCAAGAAGTGCCTACTTTTTAAGCCCCCGTCTGGTAGAGATAAGGTTCACTTTAAGCTCTCGTAAAAATGTAGCGTATGTGTATGAATAATTTTTGAAACCTCATCGAAAAGCCATTTTTCGAATGGATCTAACCCTTCCTAGGACAATTTAGATATTTAAATATTTATTAAACCACACCTTTAAAACGCGACGGGCGCCAAGCCTGCGCTTAGGCTTACTAACGATTTTATATTAACTTTTTCTCTTCGGTGGGAGTACCTAAGGGACTTGAGGGCAAAAACTATAAAGTTTTGCCATAAAACTGTAATATAATGCTATATACCACACAGGAGATTGCAAAGGGGCACGTATTGATCATCCAGCCTCGGCCGTTTTCGCTATGTACCCAACACAAGTGGGATATGAATAATTTTAATGTTACACTGAAGCATCCCCTTTAAATGCAAGTTATCGCTTACTCCTGTATAACCATTAATATTTATCCTTTATGTTTAATTAATTATCTTACTGCCGCTACTCTACTCCATTCTAGATTGTGGAGGTGCCTAAAAACCAAATTCATCTCAATTATATTTACTTGTTTGGGTCGTCAACGAATATTATTAGAGAATATTTTCTACTATAGTACATATACAATACAATTTAACAATCTGTAAAATCTCACCTATTGAATTCTCTCGTCCATTCCGTCGTGTGTTTTTAATGCACGCAGGATCCCTTATTAATTTCCGTTTTGGCAGATTGTTAAAGACTACAATTCGCTATTTGGCTCCTCCGAGGGTGTAAGTTCGGCATTGTCGATGTCCAAATTTGATCAAACTCTTCTTTCGTAACTCACACAATTTGATAAAATGAACTCCATTTGACTAAAAATTGTTTTAGTTCTAAAGTGACAGAGCCGGTTTTTAATTAACTTTATTGTTTCTTTAATATTACAACGAAGAGAATAGTGCAAGTAAAATATTTGCGCACCCTTTCATTTGGGAAATAAATTTTTCAAATATAATTTTAAATGTGTGGTATAGAAAAGTGCAATTGACGAAAAACGCACACTGGTTGGTATGGAGTGCGTTAAAGAGCAAGGGTTATATGTCTTAAAAATATAACATTGTAAGAACTAAAGATCTACCTTCTCACTGAAAAACAAATGACCTCCCACCTTTTTTGACGGAAATACACGTTTTGAAGAAAAGAAAATATACACGTTAAAAATAATGTTTCCTTTGATTTTGCACTTTTATGAAAATTTCATTGTGATAGGCTGATGTTTGATAACCATAAGAGCCTAATATTTCCTTGATCTTGCCGTTGCATCGAAGATCCTAAATTGCAATATTTCCCATTTATGTGATTGAAAAGGAAACTTAAATAATAAGTTCTGTCATGCGTAAAGTCTGTTCCTAGCTCCGTCTTGGTTACTCTCTTCCCTTTCAGAAGCTCTTCGTACTCACTTTTGGCGGTGCGGTTAATTCTGCCCTCGTAGTCCTTTCCACGCTGAAAATAAAATCGACGAACATTAAATATTGGTTATATTTCATGACTTAAGCATGCTTTCATGAATAAATTTATTATAGGTACAGTGGAAAATTCTCACACGTAATCTCTTAAATACTAGCAAACGGTACAATTAAGCGCCCCCGCCCTCTACCTTTTACTTATCACCTTTGACAAGTTAAAGCCATGGCCAGTTTTGGTCAATGAAAAACCTGCCTTTAAACTGTAAAGTAAATACGAGTACCTATAACAAATAATTCCACAAGTATATTGAACTATGAATTCGAGCTTCCAGATACGCTATCTAAATTCCTCTTTGTAATTAACAACAATGAATACAACACAACAGATACAATTCGCCTTTATCTATAAGATATTATTTTGCCGTCAAAGAGCGCATCCAAATAACAGTGAATTTTTAAATGCTCTATTACGTGGTGGTACACATCTTTCTTTTTCTTTTCTAAAAGGGCATTGACGAACCTCGGCCAAATGCGAGTCACCAATATGCACGTTGATCAACTGGGATGATGCAGTGAAACAAAATCCTCGCTAATTCAAAAAATATTTTGTTTGATTTTTTTTCTTTTTTGCGGTGCGTTATAATATCATTCCCGAAACTCTAATGACCGTCGATCTCCAAAGACGTCCTAGAGACCAATTGTTGTTAATCGTACTCTTACGCTCTATCGCTATCCCTTTGCTTGCCATGCTCTTCGCGTTTTGTTTTTTGGGGCATTTTCCAACTCATGTTAGAAGGCGCTATTATATGGCCACTTCATCCGTCCGTCTGTGCGTCCGAGGCCATAACCACTCCGACAGCTTTCAAGATATTTAGATCTTTCTTTTAGCAATCGGCACCTCAACCAAGACAAATCTTGACGATTGAAAGTGTGCATGCGCAAAGTGCGCAATGTCATCTTTCTTATTTATGCAGATATATTTTTTAAATCTTAACCATAGGTGTTTCTAGTAAAGACAAGTATATTGCATATTGTAAAAATCAGATGCGCGCATGCGCAAACTGCCCAATGTCAATGCTAAGTTTCTTATTTATACATCGATTTATACCATAACTTTTATTCTCACTTGTACACATAAATAGATCGGGAAGTACTGATCAATTCATGGAAAATGCGCTATAGGTACTTACTTTAAGGCGAAAACCTTTTTTTCATTTTTTTGTGTCTTCTCACACACCAGATTAGGTTGGATTGAAAAAAGTAGCAGGAGAGTGTCATAAAAAAAGTATACTCTCGAAGAATTTGAAGTTATCTATGTATCTAAATAAAAATGAGAATTATTTAGTTTGTAATGGGACTTAATTGTAATGCGTTCATAAATAAGATTTTGCACCACCAAATAGATGAACACAAGAGCACAAAGTGTAGATCTTATTTCCGTTTCTCCAACAAAATTGGGCAACAAACAAAAGATTGTTTATTACCAAATTGGCCAAATGTAAATGATGTATTTTCTGTTTCCCTGAAGCAATTAGTGACGAGATTGAAGATTTTTTAACATCATTCGGAAGTTTTTTGACAAAAGTTATATCGAACTACTTCTTAATGCTGGGATCTCGTTTCAAAAAAAATTCGGAAAAACACATTACTGAAGCAGATTTCTTAAGTGTCTTGGCGCTGGCGCAGGTTAAAGAAGTCGATATTTTTAACCGCTTGATTTTCCACTAATGATCATGATGAAACGACTGTTTGAAACAAACAGAACAAAGTGTCCGAAGTTTGTCAGAATAATGATTTTTTTGATATGGAGAAACGATTTCTTCGCAAAATATAACTCTTGCTGGGTAGTTCTTTTGATAGGGCTTGACCAATAATTTATGATTACATTACAGACACATTTTCTCTCAAATTCACGCACTCTCTCTTACGTGATGCGTATTAAAAATCCCGCATTATGGAATGCTTCATACAATATTAATCACTAGGCCACGATCACTAGTACCTACACGATTAAAATTCAGGGGTCATATGTATACATTTTTCATTTCATGTTGACTAAATATAAATTACAGTTACAGTTGCATTTGCAAATGGTAATCTTATTTAAGTATGCTAATTGATTGCCTCATCTCTAGAATTATTGGATCTTGGCATGAAGTTTGTATATGTTAATTTTAAATATAAAATATGTATAACATTATGAGGATGAAAATAAATATTTACCTGGAAAAATGTATATTTAACCTCTCGTTACTATCGAACCGTTTCGTTTCAGAAACTTTACTGCAAATGGATAGGCAGCAACTTCAAAAATTTGTACAGTATTTAATATCGGAACATCACACCGAAGTGTTGCCTACCGCTCAAAAGTTAGCTGATGAAATTCTCCAGCAGAAATCGGAAATCAATCAAATTCCCGGCGCGCCGGATCCAACTGCCGGAGCCTCCGCTGACGATGACCACTCCTGGCATCTGGACGAAGAGCAAGTGTGCGAACAGGTCAAATCGTACCTCTCGCAGGGAACTTATTATAACGCAAATAAGCAGTTAAACTCTCTATTTTCGAAGGTAGGTTACAAGTGAGCTCACAGTGTATGACTGTTTCATTGTAGGTGAGAGAGATGCTCAGGGCGCAGGATTCAAATGGGGCGAGAATGTTGACGCTTATTACGGAACAGTTCCTTTCCGATCCTCGACTGCAGATGTGGCGCAATCAAGGAACACCAATGACTGATAAGTGCAGGCAGCTTTGGGATCAATTAGGTGCGTTATGGGTGTGTATTGTTTTAAATCCAAACAGCACCCTTCACGAGAAGCAACATTGGAAGGCGATGCTGGAGAAATGGACTAGAATAGACGTTTGCCCACCTGAGGATCCCGACTACAGACTGCAACAACCCGGCCATCCGTCACAGAGAGATTCTGTAAGTCATTCATCTATTTATTCTCGCAGAAACTCATTCTTGAAATCATTTTTAGTTTGTAAATAGAGATAGAGATCGGTATTATTATGATAGGGATAGAGACAGATATCTTGATCGCGAGAGAAGAGATAGACGAGAACGCGAACGAGACAGAGACAGGGGAAGGGATCGACTCCTCTATGATTCTTCAGATAGTTCTGATGACGATGATGGGGAATCCAGTTCGTATAGTCACAGAAGCAGTAAACGCTTAAGGTTATCGGGAGGCCATGCCAAATCCGTTGTACCTGCTTTACCAAGGACAATATTCCACAGGTGAAGTACTGTTTTTGTTTTGTTTAGAAAATGTAATTGAATATTGCAGAGCTTTGGATGCGGTTGGAATGTCGTGGGAAAATATGCACTTAAAGAATATTTTATCTAGTGATACATACTGTTCACATGTTCCAGACAGTTCCAGTTCCGGTAGTTTTAATTCTCAAGGGCAGCCTTTGTGGCATGGTATCCTTGTACCACTTTACTTTAATGTCTTATGTATTTATCTTTTTGTAGAAACCTTATCTTTGTGTGCCGCTCGTGTTGATTCTCTAAGGTCACATGGTCACAGAGAAGCTGCACTGAGGTTGGCAGTTTCAGTAGTTCGTACAATGAAACAGCAGCAGTTAATAGCACAACGCCGATGGCATGAGAGTCAACAAACTAGCAGCACAACCAACACTCGTAGTCAAGGTTCAAATGTGCAACAATCACCCTGTACTTCAAGGTGCAATGGACAAGGTTCATGTTTAACAACCTCGGTTAATGCTCCTGCAAATTCAGATGGATGGGTCGGGCATCCTCTTGATCCAATTGGTACTTTGTTTGATACACTTGCGGATGCTTCTATTATTCCAGAAGATCAACGTCCTAGAACGCCTACTTATTTAGGTAAGTATTTTTAATGACCGTTACATTTTCTTGTGAACATGCATATATTCAAAGAAATAACATTGACTGAAGTATGCCAAGATATTAAATCGGACAGCATACTACTTTCACATTTAATTTATTTTAAAATAATGTATTGCTGCACATAACTTCCCAAAGAAAACTCAAAATCCTTCACACAGAGACAGAATATGATGATATTGCGAATTTATTACTTATTTATAATTCACGTTATTTTGAAGTGCTTGGGCAAAAATGACTTATTAAAGTTAATGCTTCACACAGCTTGCTGTAAAATATGTGTACAATTAATTACCTAGGTACCTATACTAAAAAACTTTTCCTCATTTGTATTAGTTATTTATTCATTAGAAGTGAAATAGGTACATTATTATAACCATAAAGTGCGCAGTTTTAATCTTTATTAATTAAATTATTTTGAATTCGTGAGTGTGAAATTGATTCTGAGAAAACAATGTATTTAAAATCAAAGTTAATGCAGAAATTTCACAGTTAACAGCACAACTCCATAAATAAGAACAATTAATAAGTAATTTTATAATTCTGTAACTAGGAATCGAGGTGTGTTATTTAGGCGGTTTTGGCAATAGTGCCTATCTTTTCCAATAATCGTCATCAGGTTATCAGAAGTTAGCATCAGAAGGGCTGTAGGAGCTTTATTATTTGTTTTTTTAAATGAACTATATATTTTAGTATTTTGGGATTGTTTATATGAGGGAATTAACAAGGGAGAGACGTCTGGCCACATCAATTTCGGCTCAGGTTGAGATATATTGTGGAGGGATGACGCCCATTCTGCTCTAAAGGTTCTCTTGCGGATGTTCTGAGCATTTTTTCAGCAATAAGCCTCTTGTGTTTTTCATTTTACGGTACCATTTATTGTTGTTGGAATAACAAATGGCAGTTCAGATGTAGTTTTCACTGGAAAAAAATTACATAAAGTGGCCAAAAATGGTTTAAATGAGGGTGTTTGACAGTCACGTCTTGCCTCCGCCCCAAAAGTCCGCAAGTGGAATTCACTTGACGTCTTGGGATTTGAAGAAAATTCTATTCGAAGTTTGAAAAAAATTCTATTCGAAATTTGAAGAAAAACGCTGTAACGTTTGCAACTGAGTGCTCGTATGACTGTGACAAAAACACCGCGCGTCGCGACGTCCGATTGATAAACGTTCGTCTGACCCTAGCCTAAGAGTAGAAAGTTGTTCGATGGAGATGTAGATGTTGGCCCATAATTAAAATTTAATTTCCCTAAAATAAGGTGTTATAGAAGCACCTCTATACCAGGATGCCAAAGAATCTGGCTTCACTTTGAGTATGAATTTAACAAACCTAAACTGGTTTTTTGAAAATTAAAATTCAATATTAATTATTTTCATCTTGTAAACCTTACCAATACCACATTTTGTGAAAATCGAAATTCTTTCTGGTTCCGTAACAGGGACATTTTTACCATGTCAAAAATGGGCATTCCAGAAAGATTCTAATTTTTGATGTGTGTAAATCTGGGTCATTGCAAAACTGTTGAAAAAGGTGACGTTAATATCTTATTGCTGCGTTCATTTGTGACTGAATAATGAATTGCGAAAGTTTAATGCAATTCTGCTGTAAGTTTGAAACCCTTCCAACGTTTGATGATATATTTTTATTTAAATGTTACTTCACTGAATTATGCATACAGTATCCCTTGTGCATGAACTTTATTACAGCTTTTATATATTTTTCAGGTAGTTTTTTATTTTTAGATTTGGTAGGCCTAGAAGATCAGCACAATAATTTACGACCCAGGTATCATCACGTACCAGTAGTTGGTTCGCGCGATAGATCCGAAACATACCTAACGTTAGCTTTCGAAGTTGCCTTAATTGGTCTTGGCCAGCAGCGTCTTATGCCCGTCGGACTTTACGCACAGGTACATTGAGTAACTTCTTATCATGTCTCTCCTTTAGCTAAACAACCATTCGTAAAAGAGAACCCAATTATTTCATTTGCAGGAAAAGGCGTGTAAGCAGGAGGACCGTTTAATTGCGAAGTTGCAAGAGATTGATTTGGATAACAGTTTGGTAGCGGTGCTGAGGCGACAGGCGATAGTGTTGCTTGAGGGTGGACCCACCAGCGGGTTGGGGATAGGCATTCATCCCGAAAGTGTTCCTATGCATACGTTTGCACGATTTCTATTTTTATCTCTGTTGAATTACTATCCTGATTTGGCATACGAAGTGGGGCTAAGAGCAATGCGACTGCCTCTACTGGAAGAGCATGAGGATTCTGATGATCCGATGGGGGGTAACGCATCGAGTTCGTTGATGATGAGTAGATCACCTCGATGGTTTACTTTGGGACATATCGAAACTCAACAATGCGCTTTGAGTTCAACCATGCTTAGTGCTGCAAAAGGTGAGCGTGTGTCACTTCAAATTTGAATTGTAACTATTCTATTTTCTCTACAGGTGAAGTGATGCGCTTACGAACTGTCTTGGAATCCAGTCAGAGGCATATTCATAGCTCCTCGCATTTATTTAAACTTGCACAGGATGCCTTTCGGTTTGCTACCCCAGAAAATGGCCCACGGCATCCGACACTGTTGAGTGTGGCTTTCGAGTTAGGTCTTCAGGTACGTGCGTGAGTCTAATTAATGATGTAAGTAACGCTCTACCGTTAGGTTATGAGAATGACATTGTCTTCGTTGAACTGGAGAAGACGCGAAATGGTACGTTGGTTAGTTACATGCGCTACAGAGGTCGGAGTCGACGCACTAATCTCATTAATGCAAAACTGGTACCAATTTTTCACCGCTACTGAAGCCACCGGTCCTGTAGCTACCACCATAATGTCGCACAGTACGATGATGCGCTTGAATCTGTCATTTAGTCAACAGGAAGAACTGTCCGGATGCGCAAGAACATTGGCGCTGCAGTGTGCTACCAAGGACCCTCCAAATTGTGCCTTGAATGCGTTGACCTTGTGCGAAAATGAGGCGTTGGCTTTCGAAACGGCTTATCAAATCGTAATCGATGCCGCCTCTCATATTATGACCTCATCTCAACTGTTTACGATCGCAAGGTATATGGAACATCGCGGGTATCCCACTCGTGCTTATAAATTAGCAATGCTGGCAATGAAGAATGTACATCTTGCTTACAATCAGGTTAGTGAATTCAGTTTCTCAAATTTGGTGGAGTCTGAAAAACAGTTTAATCTGGCTTGTTTTCTCAAAATTAGAAATTATTTCCTTTTGTTCAGTGCGTCAGTGCAAAAGCAGCTTATGTCTGCCTTCCTTGTTGCCTCTTTCAATATTTGCTATAGGTATACGTTTTTTATAAATTAAGGACCTCAGGATACATTTTGAGGACTAGACCCCTTCAGGATTGAACCAGCATAATTTATCACACTCCCATTTGGCCTTGTGTCTCAATACATTCTCACACGAGTTGCTGATTCTTATTTCTTTAGGAGGTGTAGGCACAAGTCTATGTGTGATTTTTAATTTAATATGCCTGCATTACAATGTTGTCCCCAACAATGCAGCTTAAGATACAGTACAGAATTTAGCTAGTGTTTGGGTCATTTTGAAGTTCAGTTCCTTTAAGCTCATGACCCTTTTTCTTTGATGTGTGATTTTTGATCCATCTGCGAAAATGGGACACAAGATTGTGGAAGTGTACTCCCTTCCCCCTTGAGGAAAAGTGTCTATCACCCGAGTTAGGGTTGCCAACTGTCTCCACCCAGTATGCGATATAGCGGGCGGCCTCTGTTCCACTGACCATGTCCATTGTTTTCATACGAAATGATCCATCCATTACTCAAAAAATACGTAATTACGACAGTAAACAGTGTTTCAACAACCTTTTACATGGATATTTTTAGAAACTGGTAAACTGAAACCAAATTAGAGCTCCTAAATCGGAAACCACAAATTTGCCCACCAATTTATTTTTAACATGTTATTGTACACATAACTGGAAGCTTAAATGAAACGAAATTCAACCAAAAAACAATGGCGAAGTATGGGTTTTTCTTCCAAGACATAGCGTAATTCAACTTGCCCAATAAAATTTGCAATACCAAATTTATCGCTTATTAGTAAAATACAACACCTCGCCAAATAAGAAAGTTTGCCATCCATTGTGTTTAATTACTTTTAAGAGTATTATTATAGCACTTTAATGACACTTTTAATTTGGCGATTTCCTGAAATTTCACTAGATGGTTCTGCAAACGGTTTCGGACAATTGAAAATATGTGATTTCAGTGACCCGCGTTAAGCTAAAGCAATAGCGCGCAGCCGTCTCCTAGCAAAGCAAGCCTAGCGTCGTGTACATGTTTTTCAGTCACCATTGGGTAGAATTTCTACAAGTAACGTAGCCATTGGGTATATTTGAATTTGCCGAGCTACCGCTCATTCTGCTAGTGCGTCCAGCTTAACACGGATAGTCTATACGGGATACGGTCAACTCGCCAAGGGCGACTCGCCACCGGACCACTCGCCACCAACCGACTAGCCAATGGGACAACTCTCCAACGCGACAACTCGCCAACGGGACAACTCGCCAACGCGACAACTCGCCAACGGGACAACTCGCCACCGCGACAACTCGCCAATGCGACAACTCGCCAACGGACGACTCGCCACTGCGACAACTCGCCAACGAAATATTTTTCCCTGTCATACAAATGCAATAGTCAATTTCCCTAATTTTGTAAAAAAAAGTTTATCGAAAAATTGTAGTCAATATTTGAATGAGGACCCATACCTGCTTCTATTACTGCATTTTGATATAACGACATCTTCTGAAAATTATTACTTGAACAGAAAATTTGACAATCACATCGTTATTTGAACGACACATTAAACAGGGAAAAATATTTCGTTGGCGAGTTGTCGCAATGGCGAGTCGTCCGTTGGCGAGTTGTCGCATTGGCGAGTTGTCGCGGTGGCGAGGTGTCCCGTTGGCGGATTGTCCCGTTGGCGAGTCAGTCGGTGGCGAGTCGCCCTTGGCGAGTTGACGCGTACCGGTCTATACATAATGCATTGTAGTAAATTGTTTTTTGTGACCTAAAGTTAAAACCAATAGCAATTCAGAGATGCTCATGAGCGGACTCTTTGCAGTTGGGTTTGTAAGATGGGTCTTGTCATAGTTGGTGGTATACACCTTATTTTATAGGTTGATTAAGATCATGAGTAGAATTGTCAGATCTTGATTTGTGAACGTTCCTCTGGGTTAAGTTAGCACCACTTGCTCCGGTAGATTATTTTCTTCTTCTACACCGAGAAGTACCTCAAAAACTACCCAAATTTCGAGAAACTGTATAATTAGACCGACTGCACTAAATCCATCAATAAAAAAGCTATTATCTTACCATAAACGATTTTTTCAGGACACACATCCAGCCATAAATGACATCCATTGGGCTTGCGCCCTGAGCCATTCTTTAGGAAAGAGCGAATTAACCAACATGATTCCTCTGTTAGTAAAGAACGTCCAGTGCGCAACCGTACTCTCCGACATTCTCCGCCGATGCAGCATGACCGCGCCGGGCATATCGTGCCCACATCCGCCCCCTTTGGACAATGGAAAACATCACACTCATCCACACCGAAGTAGGAGTTGTACAGCCACCATAAAACCTTTATCATACGATCGACCTCCACTCCGACAACTTCTAGAGGCCGCAGTTGCAGCCTACATCAACACCACACATTCAAGATTGACACATATCTCGCCTCGACATTACGGTGATTTTATAGACTTCTTAACCAAAGCTAGGGATACCTTTATATTGGCGCACGATGGTCACGCGCAATTCTCTCAGTTAATCGAAAATATGAAGGTCGCCTATAAAGGAAAGAAAAAGTTAATGTTTCTCGTGAAGGAACGGTTCGGCTGATATAACTCGAAAAAGTGGTTTTTGTAGTTGTACAGAGATAAAAGTAAGTAAAGTGATATATTTATTGTAGTATTTTCGCGTAACTAATTGAGTGGGAGGGAACGCATGTATCATCATTAATAATTAGGTGCAAAACTTTGGAATCCATACATATAAATCACATTTATACAGTGTGTAGTTATCTTACAGGGTAGATCAATGCTTTCCTTCGTAATTTTTCTTGTTTCCAAAAAAATATTGATATTTCTAAGACATTTGGGACTACCCTTTATTGCTGTCATTGAATGAGTATGCTTTTACTAGTTTTTCACAATTATTTTACCATGTCTTGATCTAGCCCCTCAAAATTTTTACTTCATGTGCTCATTCTATGGTGTCTTTTTCAAAGTTAGATAAACAGGGAACCATACATTTGCATTTCAGTTTAAGCTTGTTTTTTTTTGCTGTTGTGTGAATCCTTTTTTAATTAAATTACACGAACGTCTACTGTCTTTCAATGTTAATACCAATATTTGGAGATGTTGTACTCATGAACAATTACCTTAAAAAATTGTGGTTCACTGTTTGCGATTCAGTCAAATACCTATTCAACACACTGTATAAGGATTAATTAAAAATTGATTGTCTTCACTTGAAGTAAACTGTACTTCGTACTTAAACAAATACTAGTTGTTCCATTTCCAATAATCAAACAGACAATACTGTAAATGAGAAAAGTTATCGCTTTAGTTTGACTGCTTTATTAATTATCTTTTTAATAATAGACTGATTTTTTTAAAATTAGATTCGGCAAGTGAAGGTCTAGACTGACATAATTGAGCTATTCGTAAAAAAATGTTTGGTATTTCCTGCATCGAATATGTTGGTCTTAGATTCGTGAAATTTTATATACATGTAGGTATGTACTATATGCGATCTCATGCCGTTAGGCAGTTATATTAGTATTATTTTCATGTATTTAGCTAATTATAGGTATGACGAATATCGTATAATATGAAAAACACCTAGTTTTTCTATAAGGGTTTGGCAGAAATGGGTTGTAAATATTATACTAGGTTCGTCTTAAATTTGCAATTAGTTGTTTATGTTTGTTTAACCAAAGATTGTTGTTTGTATATTTGTGTAAATAATTATTAAAATTATAAGTGATAATCATAACATCTCTTGAACAAGTGGCAAGGAGCTAACTTTTCTACAACCAAAAATCGCTGCGAATTACCAAATACAATCTGGGTTGGGAATGAATTTGTAATAAAAGGTTTCGTTGTAGAAAGTAGCTACTTTTGCCATGACTACAAGGTAAATGCTTCCTGTTATTTATATAATATACAGTATATATCGATAAGTACAAAATAATATTTAAAAGTAGCAGTCGACCAAGCTATAGTGCGATGTCAGCTGTGTATTCCATTTAAGCTACCTCTGCACCTCATCTATTAGAAATGATCGGCTATCAACCAACGCTACAATAAACTTTGTGGTTTCAAATTGTAGCTTTGGTTGACTTTTGGAGCTATTGACTGAATTATTTATTAAGAGTACCGAAGCTCTTGAAAATCAAACTTATATCATTTCAATCAGTATATCTTCAAGGCGTTGTAAGAAGTTGTTTGGCCTCTCGATATCAAAAAAAATGTAAGTAGAATTAATTTGTTTCTTCGCAATTTTTATACAATTATTTATTGAAAAGAAATGGCAATATTGTTGAAATAAGTAAAGTAACACAAGTAATTAATGTAAGGATTGATGTCGCTGCAAATACTTTGTTTATTAATTAATTAATATTTTTTGAACTGTGATGTAGACATTTTACCATAATTACTGTTATTTTATGAGTTGTTTTTATTTGGTTTTATCTCTTCTATTTGGTGACTAAATTTTACTGTTAAAAAGGAGTTGTTTTCAAATACTGTAAGTGATAATTTTTAATTATGTATATATATAATGGTTCCGCCAAATCGGCACATTCCAGTATGGTAAAATTACTTTTTTATTAGTTGTTGTGTTGTGTTTTGTGTAATTGGTAGAGAAGGACGTTGTATATATTGCCAAGATTAACTTCGCTCATTGTTTGTTGAACAACAGACTGCAATCATTGCATTCAATTTGTCTGCGTGTACGAATGATTTATGATTATTTTTATGATAAATAAAAATATTTGTAATGCGAAATAATATATTTTTACTTTGCTTTCTGGGGTTGCAGGTATATCCACAGAAGATGATTACCATTCACTTTTGAGTGCTCTTTATGAATGAATCGGGTTGCGAAACTAGGCCATATAGGCCTGATTCTGGACCAGTTCAAGGTTGCTCGCCTGGTGGTGACTTTGGGAAGTAGATAGAGGTGAAACTCAAAGGTCACTATCGCCTGGTGGTGACCTTGGAAATTAAGTTAACTTTGAAAGTATATCAAGCTATCGATCAAAGGTTGCTCAACCCTACCGTACTCCTATAATGACATTGGGAAGTAGATCGAGGTGAATTTCAAAGATCATTTTATGTTACCGTTTTGGTGACATTGGGAAATAGGGAAGAGGCGACCTTGGAAGTTAAGCCAGTTCAAGTTCAAATGTTGCTGGCTGTTATCACGATCATGGTCTTGAGGAGGTGATCGAGATGAAGTAACAAGTTGCTCTCTCTAGCGAAAAGTTTTAATCAACTCAAGGTCATTCCGCTCTGGTGGTACCATGGTACAATAAGTCAAGGTAACGCAAATTCGTCATGTTCGCGCAGATGGCGCATTTTTCCCAATGACGTCACCAGAATCACTGCCAAGTTTGAAAATGTCCATATGGTGAAAATAACCTAATGTGTGAAGCATTAGGTTATTTTCACATGCGCTGTGCTTTCGTTTTGTAATTAATTAACAAAAAAATAATTCTTGAACTGGTTCAGAACCTACCCTATATGGCTGGCTACTCCTAGTAAAGGAACCAAAACCTATACTGTAGAATAGCGAAGGCAATTCACCTGAATACATAACGCAAATGTGCGTTTATTGCTTTTTATGCAACTTATCTTACCCAATTGGGAGTTATACAAACTAGTTACCTGGATTAAAATAACCTACATAACTCTACCCACCCAACCCACTATACATTTACAAATATCCATTCCCGAACCCGGATTCGAACCAAGGACCCTTAGCAGCACAGTCCAGTTTCAAATGAACTGCGCCACACGGGCCCGATGTTCTATATACATTTTGCCACTCCAGGTGGTATGTAGGATCAGCCTTGGGTGAAACCTCGCTCATCACAGAATAATAAAAAAAAATAACACCAAAAGAAAGATGTAGTTTGACATAGGATTCTAAATCGATATGTTACGTTCGTAATTAGTATAGTAGTATTTCAGTAGCCTGTACCAACATTTATAACTCCATTGGAACACAGATGGTAGCTTGTAGTGCGAGATCGTGGAAAAGATGATACAGGAACCAAGGGGTTTGAACAACTACGACGCAAACGGTCGTAATCTTGAGCGGAGTTTCGTGTTTCAGTGACTCTGTCGTGATTCGTTTCATTTGTCAGGCCATATCAACGAGTGAAACGATCACCAGCTGTCGGCAGATAGCGATAGGAACCGACACTGGGAACCGGACCCGCTATGTTGATAGGTATGTTCACCTAAGGTGGTGGAGTATTCTCCGATGAGGAAACGTCGTGGCGACCAATTTTTGATGTTTGGCACTTAATGCACTGTCGGGACCAATTACGAAAGTCACATTGCAAGAAGGGCCAGACGTGGAGGGCAGCGACGAGACGTTTGGAATCATGGACTGCCTGGATGGTTGAGAGCATGCAGCACGTACACGACGTCTGAACGATTTGAAAACTATTGATGGGCGTGGAGGAAACATCGCATAATTCGTAAAATTCGTTAATTGTTCTTCTGTGGCTTCACCATCATAGTCATGCAACATGGAAACCCCGCCAGCATCAGGGGGCACCCTCCCAGAGCATCGCAATGAACGAAATATTCTCATTATGACTTCTTTTCACATGTTGCTATACAATCAACATTGCATCGCTACACTGTCATTATGGGCTATGAAATGACCTACCGACCACAGCCAGCGAAGGTCGTACAGGACCTCAACCAGTACGTTATGCCACGTAGAATACTGGAGGAATATCTCTGGTCAAAAAGGCTCTATTAAAGGTGCCCTCCGACGTTGAGTGAGAAATAAGAGGCGCAACTTGATTAATTTACATGAGGCTTATTCAGGCACCGACGTATGGATACGCCACTTGTTAAAAGGCACCGGGATGTGCCAGTACCAAAGCAACTTCGTAAAAAGTGATCGATTTCCACAGTTGTTGTATATTTCAGCGACGTTTAAGCATCAGAGTCGCACGTCGACCACACTCACACCCGTCCCACTGTGGGGGGGGGGGGGGGGGGGTGCAGGAAGCTTCTGGGGTAAGGATAGGTTGTATCGCAATTTTACATTATAGTTGCGCCTTTTTACTCTTTCCCACTCAACGCCTCCGTCCAAATAGTTTAGTAAGAATGATATATATCTTTTGATGGGACACTGTCAGATGAAAAGACACCTCCAAAATGTGACACTCGAAGTAGATCCAGTTTGCAGAGAGTGACAGGAGGAGGAAAAACTCTTCTGCATATATTGTGGCCTGTGAGGCTGAGGCATATGTAACTGATCAAGATAGTATCTATTTATTTATTTATTTATTATCCCTCTCTTGTTCTGGGCCCTCAACAGGCTTGCGCCCAATTACAGAGTAACCCACATAATGCTTTTTAGAGGTGCCTCTGCAAGGTCTTAAGTTGTTCTATACTACTCCAGTATTTACCTTACGAATTAGGAAAACTGCAGGAAAACCTAATTCTGGGTAACCGGTAGAATGCTCGAAACTGGTCTAAGGTAATTCCCATCTCTGCCACAGATGATAACTTCTAGATTTCTTCAGATGCATATATTGATACCCTTTAGAGAGTGAGACTAAAAGTAGAGGATAGAGTAGGGTTTTAGGCTGCGGTACAGGGCCCCTGTTAAGAGACCATCTCTGAGAATAATAATGCTTGGTTACAGAACTTAACATTTTTATTTTATAATTTCCCATTTATCATTCCGTTTCACTTGATCTTTCGGATCATAACTTGAATTTTGTGAACTGCCTATTCGAAGTGCATCAAGAGTTGCATATCCACTCCTTACATGCACCAAACAAGATTAGTTCAACTTTTAATTTGTAGTTCAAATTCGTCAGTGAAATCGTCAACTTCGTAAACAATTTCAAATTTAACTGTCAAGCATTTACAAGTTGATTTGTTTTTAATTAATTTTCGTCGTTTAACAAGACAATTAGGATGTCTTACAATAACGAAGATTTACTAAAATTAATAGAACTCCATAAGCAGTATATTTACAATGATAAACGAAGGTTAGGATGCTTGCAAGACACTGGGGTACAGGTAAGAAAGTTCATTTTCTCTACAAAAATTAAATCACTTATTAGGCAAAATTATTGGAGCAAGTACAAAATTAAACTCTTAAATGTCTTTACGCTCAACGGTGTGCTTGTACGGTATTGTTCTTGAAGTATCCTTACGTCACATTGATTTATAAAAGCCCTTGTTCTTTTATTGCAGAAGAGACACTTTAATATTGCTTAAAGACTTAACTGTACATTCAGCAGTACGCATAACACTTTTGATCGGTTTACAATCGTAGATGGAGCATTACCATTAAGTTCAGTTAAAATTTGGACCGGAATTGATTCCATTTGATGTCTTTTTCTGGAAACTCAGCCTTTAGAGGGCTTTTTAACTTAATACTTAACAACCCAAAATACTCATGCTAAAAACGTTAATTTTTCACACAATTATTGCAAACAAATGATAAATCAAACAACACACCTTTTTTGCTGTATAATTTGGCAAGTAGCAGATTTTAGTATTGGCAGGAGGCCAGTCGCAAAATGTATTAACTGACCTTGTCAAATATTGATTTTTCTCCCTCGTAGTCAACATGAAGGGGTGAAGTTTGATATATTCTGTTATTTGAACCTAGTATCCCTACAATGTGTTCATCCTCTGCATATATTATCCAATTAATTTAAAGTTTACAACATTTTATTAAGCTTTAACTAATTTGTATTTTATAATCACAATGCTATTATAACAAACACCAATTATATTTTGTAGCACAGTGAATTTGGTAATGAAAATTTGTGCGAAACCAAGTCAGAAGTACAAAATTTTGTATCAAAATCCGAAGAAACTAAGCAATATCCGGACAATAGTATAAATAAGGACAATGAAGTCGGTCAGGTACGACAAAAGTGCGTTTTAAGCTTTGTTTTTTAAAGTATAATCTCAAAACAAATCTAATTCGTTTAGAGGTAAGCTTATTAAAAATTAGTCATTAGACGTGTTTGGTAATTCGTTGTTTATATAATTGCATTAAAGTTTTGATCATTTTTTTAATTTACCTTAGCCTAGCGTTAATTCAGCTCGTTGCCGAGTGTGTTGTGCATGCATGTTAAACTCGTAGGTTTAATGAATATTATTTATTTAATAATTGTGTTATTGTATTTGTTAAGTGATGCAGAATAGTAATTGTAATGATTCACATTCAGTCTAATCATTTAGTGGGGAACTGAACGTAAATGTCCTAAATATTTAATCATGTTTTTGTTTTTAGTGTCTCTATTCGTATAGTCGGCCTTGGAGCAACAGTAAGTGTACATTATTTATGAGAGAAATGAAAGCTTTGCTCGCGATGAAAATAATTTATTTCATTCGTTGATAGCTATAATTACCACAATGCCACAAGTTGTCCATTATCTACTTGTGAACGTACAATTTCTGAATTTGTTATCAGGTATTTTTCTTCTCTCTTAATATAAAAATAATTGAGGGTACGAATGTTTTTTTCTTTGTTGAGATTGGCAGTCACCAAGATGCATAGGGAACATTATTGAATTTGTAACTATCAGATGTTGGTTATATCTTATATGGCAAGAATTGTGATGATTTTCAATAGTTTAAATGGGAAAACGTAGATGTCTCTACCATTGAGAAAACCTGCCTTAGTTAATATACAGGAATCTGTAATGAACCATATACAAATTTATTATTTCGTTTTTTTTGCATAAAGAATTGATACTCAATCTCATATCTCAATCAATTCTTGGTCGCATTAAGGAAATATAGAAAGGCTCTATAGCTTTGTTTGTCTGTCTGTGGTCTGACCCACGTACAATCAAATCTTAAAAAAAGTCCAGCAAGAGCATATGATATTTTTGCTGTTAATTCACACCTACATTCTGCATACTGATGGCTGAGTACATGAATAAATAAACAAAAAAACCTGCCTTTTGCATCCCTATTAAAATTTGATGAAGTAATAAGTATCCAAAATTGCAATTTTTGTGACAAAATCAATCTTTTTACCTCGCTTTTTACATTTACGAAGTAATTTTTTTACATCAATGAGTGGACATTGTAGGTAGGATAATATCAAGGCAAGTGCCCATAGAAAGTGCTAACGGGAACCGCCCATTTCCGGTCGTTTAAGCTAGGGAAAATGAAAACAAAAGTTGACATTTTTAGTTTTTCGGTTACATATATCCAGTTATTTTCAATGATGTTCCAAAAATTTCAAAAGCGTTTTTTTAGTTCCAAAAATTTAACCTACACTGTAGGTAGGTATGTCTCGCTGTTACAGAGATCCCAAGAGCCACGAATTTGAACCGCCCTATACATTGCAACAAAAATACAGGGTTGTCGATGTGCTATATTTTGCTGTAATACCCGTATTTTGGTTCTATGGGATCGGCACTTCTGTTAGTTATATATTCGATGGGAACACTGCATTGCAGAGACCTATGCATTAATTAATAATATGAAAATGTACACAGTCCTCCATTAAAGTACCGTTTCCGGGACTACATATTTTAATTGCTAGTGATTTATTAGTTACTGCTGCACACTAAGTAACCTATTAGTTCTTTTTTAGTAGATAGATATAAAAAATACTCATTAAACCTTTACTTTATTATATTGCCAGCTACACATATATTACTTTTCTAGAATTTTCCATTAGTGGAACAGCTTGATTTAAGTAGTTGCAATGGTTCATTAGCAAAGGATAAGCAGGCTTTTATTGATAAAATTGCAAATTCGGAAAATCCATTATCCTTTCGATCGGTAAGCATGATTTTGTATTTTGGCCAAAGACCAGATTGGTTCTATTTAATTTATAATTTCTTTATCGGTAAAATTGTCCGCTATGAGAAAATTTCATTGTGCGTAGGATGCTGGTAGCGGCAACGCAATGCTGCGTTATGGTGAATTTAGTCCCAACAATCCTCAATTGAGAGTAGCGGCGGCACCTTACCTTGGCCTTGGGGAGTACGAACAGAGGAGGGCTCTTATTTCTAAGCAACGCCAAGCTGATTATAATGCACACATTTCTCAGGTAGGTTTTTCATTATTGATATTAATAATTAATAAACACTCTGTATAATCCAGTTCAATTAAAAGCGCTATGTTTGCAGGAGAGAAATTTTAGTTGTGTTCTTCTTTTCTTGTTTTTTTCCAAATTTAATTCAGAGCGATATTAATAGACCTTCACAATTACAAAATCAATAAGTTGTTCAGGGTTTATTTGAACTTTTAATTAACATTGGTGGTGTAACGCAATGAATTATTTTGTTTGGATATGTACCTAGTCATTATAATGTCGATATGCAGCAATTGATTTAGGTCCAGGGCTCGGCACCAATTGAACAATGGAAGAAATATTGGAAATTAGTGAGATACAAAAAAAAGGTGATCAATTTCCATTTCGTCACACGTTCGCGAATATAAAATACTCGTTTGATTCATAAAATGAAACACACAAAAAATACAATGCCTATTTCGTGATCAAGTGTCCATGCTGAATTTGATCCTTATGTAAAATTCATCTTATCACACAATGAATTACTGGTACGCCCTCCTGAATACTAAACAAAATTTCATTCTCCCAAAGAACTAGTAGGTATTACTGAAATTAAAGGCAAAATTGTAATCAAAGAACCAAGATCTTTTGTTTGGATTTTCAACAAATCTGTCAAGCAAATAATTCGTATGGGTTACTTCCTTTAGGACTTGCGACAATCCGTCACAGCTCTTAAAAAATCACTCCTTTATCGAAAATGTATGCGTTGTTATCGCCAGGCATACTTTTGTTCATGTTCGCTATGAAGCGCCACATGTGTAAATTTGTCTATGTTGAATAAAATACAAATTCGAATAAATACTTTTTTTAATTCTAAAGCGACCACCCGTTACTCTTGAATTATTATTAGTTTAGACTAAATTAATATACGAGGATTGTTCAATAGAAACACGTTTGATCTATACAGCCATGATCTGGTCGTCATGGCAACCGAATTAATTTGTTTAAATTGTTTGCGTACATACTAGTAAAGCGTCTGACAAAACTATTTGCAGTTTGCTCTTTTCTAAGTGTTGGGACTGCGTTTGAAAATGGCATCCATGGTAGAAAATCCATCCAAAGACAACTTGCGTGCGGTTATTTAATTTTTGGGCGCTGAAGGACGTCAGCCAACCAAAATTTATACGAGAATGAAAGCTGTATATGCAATATACAGCACTCTGAAACGCTTACGGGTCAGCATCAAGAATAAACGTCCCGGGAAGCTCACAAATGGTGTCATTCTTCTGCATGATAATGCCTGACCACATGTAGCCCAGCCGATTCAAGAACTGCTTAGTCGCATGAAGTGAGAAGTCTTACAACATCCGCCTTACAGTCCCGACCAGTCACCTTGTGATTACCATGTTTTTGGCCCGTTAATAAAGCAATTACTAAAAGGACGGTGGATATGCGGATGATATATCCATACTTATAACCGGCAAATTTGAGGCTACTTTATGCAGACTGATGCAATCAGCTCTTACAGTAACCGAAGAATGGTGTAGGGAACACTCCTTGTCCATCAACCCGACAAAAACGGAGCTAGTTCTCTTCACAAGAAAAAGAAAGGTAGAGGGTATTCGAGCTCCCCTGCTATTCCAAAAACACCTCCAATTTTCAGAGTCAGTGAAATATCTAGGAATCACACTCGACAAAAAACTGAATTGGAGCAAACATATCCACCTTAAAGCCGAAAAAGCAAATAGGGCTTTCTGGCAAAGTCGCCGCGCTATTTTCAAACTTTGGGGACCATCCCCGAAGGTTGTCCTGTGGCTGTACACTGCCGTGATTAGACCTATGTTCTGTTATGGAGCAATTGTCTGGTGGCCTAGAACCAGACTCTCCACAACTGTAGCACTCCTTAATCATGTGCAAAGACTAGCGTGCCTTGCCTGCACAGGCGCGATGCGAACGACCCCCACAGCCGTCATGGAGGCCCTCTTGGATCTGCCTCCACTAGATCTCCACGTGAGAGAGCAGGCCATTCTGGCATTCCTGCGTCTGAAAAATAAGGGGTTGTTGAATAGCAGAGGCATTGAGGGGGGCCACTCCCGAATTCTGGGCGAGGCGATCAAGCGTCTGCCTATCCTAGAGGGGAGATCGGACTCACTCACTCCTCAATTCATATTAGGGAAAAACTATCACATCTTCTTTGATGAGAATATGGCATCCCAACCAGATATATTCATCTTCACGGATGGATCTAAGACAATGGAAGGTACAGGCACTGGTATTTACTCCAAAGAACTGAACTTCCATATCACCCAACCACTAGGTAAACTTCCTACTGTATTCCAGTCAGAGTTGGTAGGATTAACGCTTAGTGCAAGAACAGTTCTTATGCATAACATAAAGAACAAAACTATCAGAATCTCAAGTGACAGCAGGGCTGCCTTGCAGTCACTTGGTCACTGTAAAATTACCTCTAGGATGGTTTCCGAATGTCACCACGTACTAGAGCAAGTAGCAAGCAGCAACACCCTTGAGCTCGTATGGGTCAAAGGGCATGCTGGAACGGAAGGTAATGAGAAAGCCGATAAATTAGCCCGACTGGCCTCAAAACAGGCGTTTTATGGTCCAGAGCCGGCTCTTCCACTTACAGTTAAAACTGTAAACAACCTAATAACTCAAGACACCCAAACCCAGCACAGAGCTAGGTGGAACTTGATGTTAGATTGTCGCCATGCGAGAGAAGCCTTCAGAGGACCATCTCGTAGCTTGGCGCGTTTTTGTACAGGGCTATCAAGGAAGAACCTGAGGTTACTCGTGGGCATACTTTCTGGGCACTGTAAACTAAACAAGCACATGCACTGCATGGGTTTGGTGGAATCACCATCTTGTAGAGGATGTTACACAGACGACGAGACGGCATACCACATACTCTGTGAATGTCCCGCTCTAGTCCAACTGAGACGATCCATGTTGGGGGAATCCTGGCCGGACATGGCTACGATTAGAGCCGCCTCCCCTTCCAGCGTCCTAAGGTTCATCTCACGTGTGGGATGGCTTGAGTGATGTTGAGGGGTCGGGCGACCCTAGTCAGGCAGGTAGTACAAAGGGCCTGAATTTGAGGCCTAAGTACGCGTGGACACTGTTCACCCTCCTATCGTAATCCAGAATCCAGAAGGACGGTGGTTCAAATCGGACGCTGAGGTAGAGTTTGCGGTTAGGGAATGGTTCCCCAAGCAGCCTCAAGAATTTTACCAGCACGGAATTTACAGATTAGTACAACAGTGGGATTCATGCCTGAATGTTAATGGAGACTTCTTTTGAAATCGTTGAATAAAAAATGTTGTACAGCCTCTAAACGTGTTTCTATTGAACAATCCTCGTAGAATACATTAGAGAACGCTAAGTGAAGGTTTTGTTCTAAGTTATAAACGTTACAGAATAGGTATTTTAAAGTGATTCCTGATAATAAATTTAATTTTATTGTATTAGTTAAGTTTTATTAGTAGTTAATAAGTTTATTTTTTTAGAAGAATGACTTGATAAAGAGCAAAGTCGACAACTTTTTTGTTGAGACGCTGCCTTCAAAGCATAAAAGTTACAACAAAGCCGTTCAGACAGACATCCAGAACATACACCATAAATTAGTAAGTCTTCAAAAGGATCATGGTAACAAGCTGTTAATAGATGGCTTCCAGGTGCAATATGAGTTACGTTCACATAATCCACCGGAAAAAGAATTGAGTCCTCAACCGGTTTTCACTGCGAATAATACGATGCACAGCAATCGCAGTCCTATTTTGAGTAGGTCGGAGCATAGGTTTTCATCTTCACAAAATGTAAGGCCAGAAACCAGCAAACCTAAAAGTATTTTGTCATCGCGGAGGACGGAGTCAGTACGAGGTACTTTAGTCGGTATAACTAATCCACTCTCTCATTGTAGTTTTTTTAGATTACCATTATTCTTATGTGCCAAGCATTTTAGATGGATTCAGCTATGAAGACCGAGCCGACCTTCTTGAAAAGGTAATTACAAATAGAATAAAAGGTAATCAACAGAAAAATTTGCAATAGTTTAATATATTAATCTTGATTTAAAGGCCACATAGATTATTACACAAACTCCCTGTTCCTCTTTTCTCAACTACAAGCCTAAGAGGAGGGGTGCTGACTATTACAACCTGGTGGCGCCCCTCGACTACATCCGTATGGAACCCATGTTACCGCTGCAGCTGGAAGCACCCTCATCTTGCTCTCTCTGGCCACCGCAAATTGTTTCTAGCGCCTTTGTCGTGTGGTCGCTTTTTGAATAGCCCTGTCAATATGTTCTATATAACAGAGACTCCTAGTATGTACGTCAATTGTTCTTTCGAAAATACTTCTACTCTTCAGACCGTCACCCTGGACTGGACTCGTACCCGCCATAAGCGCCGCTTTCGTCTTGGTCCTTACAAGTTGAGTTCAGCGTGTTGCTACCATATGGAGGTCGCCATTGTAGGCAATGTTCTATAATAGCGGACCCAGCACTTACCCTTGAGAGACTCCTCTGTCCACTCTTCTAGTGTTTTTTGTCTATTGGTAAGATATTAAGCGCGTTAAATACGTAGACGCTTCTTCATCCTGCAGCGCTCTTAGGCTGACTGACTTGGGAACCACATTGAACGCGTTTTGTCAGGTTAAGACTGCTACCTCCAGGGACTTCCACGTGCCTGTTTGAGTGTTCTACGGAATGGATTTTTCTCTAGGGCGTTCTTTTTGCCTTTTCCTTTCATGAAACCAAATTGCTCCGGGCTCAACCAGATCCGCCTGCCTTTCTGCTGTCACGTTCTCAAAAAGCGATCTTCCCCTCTTTCTTCTTGGGAATCAAAACAACGGACGCCTTTTGCCATGGGCTGGTGAGCAGCCTTGGCCCAACCCTACCCTATTTAAAACAAAGGCGAAATAATACCCAAAATTTCAGATTCATTGAAGATCGCTTTTATGTTTCTTTCAATGAATGCCCTTAGCTGATGAACTATTTTACATCTTTTTGATTTGATTTTATATCATGGAAGATTCAGCATAATAAATAATGTTTGTACTTGGTTAGGAACGTTTGAAACGAGAAGCCTATCAGCTAGAATTGAGACAGCAAATAGAGGAAAAGAGGAGACTGGCAGCGTTAAGAGATGAACAAGATCGCCGAGAACAGGAGCTAGAAAATAGGAGATTTGAACAACAACTGTTGAAGATGCAAGAAGAGCAGTATAGAGAAGATCAGTATCGTACTCAAAAAAACCAAATGGTAGGTTTTTCATTATTAGTTTTTTTTATTTTTCATTTTCACAATTTTTAGAAAACTGTAAAGTGAATTAAATTTGAAACTTGCTGCATCCAGATTTGGATTTTGTTAAGAATGTTAACGTTTCATAGACTGTGTTAATAGTTGGATTGTTTTGTTTTATAAGTTGTTATATAATTAAATAGTTTATTAGACGTGCTAATTACTGTTCATTTTATATAGTTTCGCAGGACAAGCGAAGATTTGAAGATGTATAGAGACGACCAGTTAGACCGATCGTTCAGGAAGCATGCCGATTCGGAGAGTAGCGTGACAAGCCTTCGAAATACCAAAGTTGCCTCCAGACAATTATCCCATTATTCTCCCCCAGTGAGTCGTAGAGTACCATACTCCTTTAACGTTCCCTCAACTTCCACATTTGCCAATCATCCAAATAGGTATAATAGTTCGTTCTACGATAATTATAAGAAAGACAGTTTTACACGAAAAAACTTTTTTAGTAGATCAGAATCGGTAAATCGTGACGAACCTCGGAGCCGTTCGAATTCTTTTAACCGTTACGAATCCGCTCTCAACCGTCATGAATCATTAAGTAGAATAGATTCGTTACAACGACAAGAATCGTTAAATCGTTTGGACTCTTTAAGTATTAAAGATAGTATATGTAGAGTGCCTCGGCGGCATAGTGCAACGCAACAAGATTTCAGTTTAATGAGAAGGAGCCCGAAATCACAACGAAGTGATAGAAGTAGCTGTAGTAGATTGGACGATCCGCTTCCGATTCCTATTCTAAAAGCACATTCGCCGGTTGCCAAAGATCTGAAGAATTCTATCGCGATAGATTCCAGTAAGCGGAGTACAGACACAGTTAGAAAGCTTGAGGATCGTTGGCAGGTAAGTCGATCGAATTGATTCTATTGTTTTATGTATCGCATTTAGGTACCTGTTGTTCAAAGAAACATAATAACTCATAGCGATCCCAGGGATGGGCAGGGACGAAGTATTTTAACTCAGTTAGGTGCAATACGCCTTCAGTTGCAAAAAGAACAACTTCGAATGGACGAAACGTTAAGAAAACGTGGGATTTCTCAACCTAAGGCTGTTTAAATATTGTAATTATTTTATTATTATTATTGCATTTCTTCAAGTGTAAAGTTTACTAGTTATTTATATTGTTAGAATTTATATTTATATTATAGATTGAACAATAATAATAATACGAGTTGATATTAAAATATTTTACCTATGTATATGATAGTTAATAAATGACAATTTTATCGCTCTTTGGCGCAGCAGAGAGTGAGATGCTAAGAAATGTGTATTTACAGTTACTACACCAATTATTTTTATAACTAATTCAATGTTTTATCCACAACTTTGCCTGTTAATATGAGGTTCCACAAGGAGATGTTTTAGAGCCTTATTTTATTTGTATTATTTATATTAACGATATTGTCATGTTTTTAAATTGCTTGACATACTCGAAAAATTACAAAATGTTCATACTTTTTGCCAGTTTTGGGCTTAAAAATCATAAAAAGATGCATTCCTACGGACCATTTCAAAAGTAGAGTAAATTTCCCACAATTTGGGCCCAACTCCATTTTTTTAAGTTAAATAGTTTCCGAGAAATAGCCATCCCAAAACTGGCAATTTTTTCCAAAAAAGATAAAAAAAAATTTCGCAAAATATTGCTTGAAATAGTAATTCCGCGAGAAGGTCACGAAAATATTAGGCTTTAATTTAAAAGCAAAACAAAGCATGTAGGACCAATAGTTCTCTTGTTATCTTCGAAAGTCGGATTTTTCGAAAATAAGTCATCTAAATAGGTGATGACTTGATAGTAACGCATTAATGGAATTTGGTAGGTACTTATCATATTAAAGTCAAATAAAAATCAAAATTTACAAATTGTAGACAGGTGCAGTGAAAGGCGAGGGACCAAATAAAAGACTGTTTTGGAGGAGGATAACGAGAACCGCAACCTTTTATAAAGCTTCTCTTTCTACCAAGTTTCTCCATACTCGGCTCTTTTGACTTCGCGCTTGAATTCAACTGTGGGACCTGCAATGAGTTTTAATTGAAAATGGTTTTTCTCATCGAACTGTGTGTCATTGGTTCATCCGGGTTGTTGCTTTTTGTGTGTTAAATCACTTGATGAAGGGATAAGAGGTAGGAGTGAAAAAACGCGATATTCATTCAGGTTTTGGCCATTGTGGCATATGTGACCATGGGTCTAATGATGGTTTCATAGAACCATTTGGTCATTTCAGTCGCTCAGCTCCAGTTCCTGCCTAGTAGCCTTCTGCAGGCCCAGGATGCCAGGGTGGCCTTTTTATCACCTTACCCAAATGGGAGTTCCACGTGAACCTCTGGTCAATGTTCACTGCAAGCTATTTGACCTCTTTACTAAGATCCATGGTGATTTCCCCATAGTCCCCCTTATGTTGGGCTTCCTCGTTCTGATAAAAATTGTTGTTATGTTTGGTGTCTACAGTCACTGGGCTAACTTATTACATTTACTTGGAAGCAGCCAAAAGTGAATTAAAACATTTGCATGAATTGTTCGACTTCAAAAGTCTAATTTGACCGTGCTTGTGAAGTAGTGATGGTAATTTTGTCCGAAAAAACAATTTACAAGGGATATAGTTTGTGGCCACGCTGTAGAGAAAACTTTCGGCGGTTAGTAACAGAGGGAACTTCAGAGCAGTGGCGCAACGTATTGCGCTAATTTCAGTACATTTGAACAATATGAACAATTGATCGCAACGTGAAAGTTCTTCAAATTTTTTTAATTGACGAAAAATGGCAGCCACCCCCAGAGCAGAGGGCCCTCCCGAAGAAGTAATAAAGGCAGTTGGCTGTGCCCATTACAAAAGGAAATCGAAATTTGTGGTAAATACCTGCATTCATTTTAAAGTGATGAAAGTGCCTTCAATTAACGATTTCTCTTTCATGCTGTTCACCAAAATAGCAATAAAAGAGAAATGTCATGCTTTCTATTTTTGATACTCTTTGTGTTTCGGTGAAAACAAAGTGAATGCGGTAATAGTATAACTTTAATTTAAAAAGGAGGTGCTTCTTTTTCTACTAATTGGCTTCATGTTTTCAGACACCGTGTTGCAATAAAGTGTACACATGTCGATTTTGTCACGACGAAAAAGAAGACCATACCGTAAACCGAAAGGAAGTCACAGAATTGATATGCACACTTTGTGAAACTAGGCAACCTGTGCAAGCCGAATGTCAGAACTGCGGTATTCGATTTGGCAAGGTAGGTAGATTTGGAGTAGGTATACAGCATTATTTAAATAATTATGTAAGGAAGTAGAATGTCTACATTGAGATATTTCGTAAACAATCATTGAAGAGAATTAATTGAGGCAATAGAGGTCAATGTGAGTGTGCTGTGACATATTTGATCTCTTGATTGGTTTAAATTACAAGTAATTGTATGTGTATACTAAGTAGATTAAAAGATTTTTAACGCTACTTATTAAGTCAGTATTCAAACTAATTTGAAATGTGGGATTGGTAGAAGATGCTAAATGAATAAAAGCTGCTATTAATTTTGGTAATTTCACGCTATTTAAAATGGAAACATCTTATACATTAATTCATCGCATACAGGGTGGACTACAAGGTAGAACACCCATAAACAGATTTGCAGAAAAAAATTGTAATCTACATATTTGGTACATGGGTGCTTTTCAACATGACAATGAATCGAAGATTAGGTTTTGGAAATCGTCCGTTTTTGATAAATAATTACTTAGGTGGACAAAATGGAAAATGTTGATGTGAAAAGTATCGTTCGTTTCTAATTTGAAAGAAATGTTCAAGCTTCTGCTAGTAGGATCTTAAACTTTGTCATTTGTTTTGCTCCTCATTAATAGTCACAATGAATGCCAATGTGCGTTGTAAGTTGTGTTGCCTAATCAACAGATGGTTAAGATAGGGCATTTGGGCGAATACCTTTTGAGTCAGTATTCTCCAAAAATGTGTATTGATTTTTATGTATATTTTAATATTCTGCCTTTTTAAGTTTGAGGACTAGGGTTCTGAAAATTCTAAGAAAGAAGAATGAAGTTTTCTTCTTATTATTTTATATTTTTGCCTTTTTAGGAACGCCTTTAAGTCTTTAGAAAATTTCGAAAAATCAATTTCATAAATCGCAGAAACTGTCGACGTGAAAAGTGTTGAGTTTGAGATCTAATAAACAACTAATTTGAATGCCCTTGGTATCAAATAAAAGCTTCTATACATATTTTAGTCGCAATAATATAAAAAAAATGGTCCTCTCTGTTCTGCAGTGAGAGTTAATAATATTCTACTACACTATGTCAACGTGCAACAAAACATTTTTAAAAAGAGTTCATCTTTTACTGTGAGAGACGCTCTTAGTTACAGTGCACCGTTATTCAGAAGATTTGTTGGGGAATATTAAGAAAATTGCCAACAATGTTTTAAAAAAAGTTTCTAAAGAGATTTAATGTGTCAAAGGTTTAAAAGGGCCATCACTGGTGAATGTTAAACTACGAAAAAGTCCATTACAGTTTGTTGTGAGTTTTTTAGTTTTTGAGAAATTTTGAATTGAAAGTTACATTATATTATTTTTATTTTATTTGCACTTCTCTCGAAAAGCACCATAGCAAATGTTAAATACGAAAAAGATGTGCCTTGATGAGCTGTACAAACAGTCATACTTTTTGCGTTGGGTTCACAATAAAGACTGTTTTCTATATGTTACACTATGACTATATTGTTAAGTATTTGGAAAGTCAAATCGGGAGATTACATTTTATTGTGATTTTTAAATAAAATCTCTTCCTTGGTGCATTATGCTTTCGTTCATAAATTACTGTTCTATGCATCAACGACTGAGAACCCCCCTTTTTAACAGTGTTAAAATTATTCGCTTTAATAAATAACAGATTATTAGCTAATTTTTTTAAACAAAAAACATCTTTCACCTTGCACTGTTATTTTTTAAAGTATGCATCTGTTTTCTTTCATGACCATTGAAAAATTGTTTTTCTCGCAACTGTTTGAAAATTAGAAATTCGTCAAACTAATTAATAAAAAATGTACAAAGAATTCTCGTTTGATTTTTCAATCTCCTACTTTTGAAATAGATAGCGTCAAAACTGGTAACATTATTTACACAAAAATGATAAACAAATTACACATAAGCTTGCCTTATCTTTCCAGTATAGAAATTTAATAATACAGCAAAATAACTTATTTTTCTTTATGGAATTGTCTTAATGTGTAACATATGTTTCGGACGCGATTAGAGAAACATTTATTTTATACATTGCTTTCCTAAAAAGTTTTGCTTCATACACAGGGTGTCCAGAAGTATGGATTATTGTAGATTACCCATTTTATAAAAAAACTAGCTGACCCGACGGACGCTTTCCTCTTTCTTAGCTATGAATACCTATTCAATTTGGACTGGAATAAATAATTACAAAAAATTATTTCAAAACATTTACTGTGGCTAGCACAGGTACCACCCGCCCCACCTGCGCATGCGCGATTCTGCCCTTCTATGTGTAAGAATATGTGTAGCAAATTTGGTTTAAATCGGTTCAACCGTTTAGCCGGAAAAGAGATTTTGACACACTTGCCCCAAAATCTTCCCATCTCTGCAAAATCATTAAAATTAAACGCATTCTCTTCTAGTTGCTTTTGGCAATTCAGAGCTAGCAACGTACCTTTTTTTTTTGTTGCGCCAAATGCCGTAATTTGAAAGCAATGATTGTATTTCTGGATATGATGAGTCAAAAAATGTATAGAATCTGGCACATTTCCGCAAACCAAAAAAGTTCGCAAAAAAGGTAGTGGCTCTGGTGACGGTACCAATTGCGTCAGTTTCACTTGGACACTGTCGCAACATAATCCCGAGGCTTCAGTTTTAATCTTAACAGTCTTGAAATGTGGACACACAAAGTTCTTTAGTCTAATAGCAACAATTTATTGTAAATTGTAATCGATTGCTACGTTATAATTAAATGCAACTCGATAGGGATTAAAGGGGACATTTCTGCGTTGTTCATATCGATTCCGTTAACTTCGTTTCGCCCTTCGCTTTTCTCGTCAGTTTGACTTAAGTACTCGTACATCAGAATTACGAATTCTGCGACTTAAGTTGGTAGCATGTTGGTACGTCTAATTAGTAGCTTGAAAAAACTAAAATTCAACTAAAAATAGAAATTGACTCCCAGTGTTTCTGTATAACTATGTATACCACGTGTTTAGTCTATCAACATTGAACACTTACCAAAAATGGATATTAGGTATATCAAACTTTTAATACAAAAGATGTGATTGCGGTGAAATAACCTCGAAACTTCTCAAAAAACTCACTGAAATCTGGATAAACTATCCGATCGAATTGACAGCACACTATGATATGAATAAATTAATTTTTTGACGGATATATTATGCTGATCCATTGCCGATCGATGTAGCTGTTAAAACAATTGCCGTCGCACCGTCCAACGCGTGATGTTTAAATAGTCGATAAGTTTTCTCCAATTTTCAAATTTTCTGCGCGATTTTCTTAGTGTTTCTTGCCGTAAGAACCTTCTACACAGTATTAGAAAATTTTTAAAAAAAGATGAATGAAATCGGTCAAGTCGTTCTAAAGTTATTGCGTGACCAGAAGAAACAGGGGTTCATTTTTATATATAGAGATGTTTCAAATAAAAGTTAGTTTGTATTTAATTATTTATCACATGGAATTTTTTATTTTTATAAATTTTTTAAATAAATCGCTCCACATAAAAATTTTTTTTTAATGCGATATCTTTTTTGCAACTTTGATAGTGTTTCATTCCTTTTTCAAACATATAAAATATTAATTCCCTTGGATTGGAACAATTTTAAAAAAATCGCAAATAGTGCGCGTACGTTTATTTAAACAACGTTCAACAATTTATTCTCATTGATCTAGTCACCCATGACCGTTTTATGCTCATCTAGGTATTAAAACAATTGATTGCGCCTTACAACTGTCAAGGTAATACGCGAACTTGACGTAAAATGTTACCAATTCACATCAATTTGGAAAATATGCTTTTGAAGTAAACAAACATGGCTCATTTATAGGCAAATTTTAATTACGTTGGGATATGGAGAAAGCAGGATGATGTGCCTTCGCTTGTTTTAACATTTAAACAAGCCTTAAACGTTCATGGGTGATTAGATTAATGAGCATAAGGCTGTTACTGTTTTACATTTTTGAAAAGGGAATAAAACACTATCAAAAAAGTTGGCGAAAAATGTATCTTGTTATTAAAAAACATTTTTTTATTTGTTGCGGTTTTGTTTTGAAAAAATAAAAAACTCCATGTGTTATACGATATTCCCTGCTTCTCGGACGCCCTGTATATATTTTGCTGTGTTGAAAATGTACATCATAATTGTACACACTCTACTAATACAGAATGTTCCTTTGCAGTATACATGTTTGGAATGCAACTTATTCGACGATGAGGATAAGAACCAGTATCATTGCAGCGGGTGTGGCATTTGTCGGATAGGCGGTGCAGGCCGATTTTTCCATTGTGAGAAATGCAACATGTGTTTACCAGTTCAGTTAAAAAATGGCCATAAGGTAATCTCGTGTGCGCTTACAATTGGCTTTAAATGTCCATCCGTAGTGCGTTGAGAATGTTTCCCGAGCCAATTGTCCTGTTTGTTTAGAAGACATCCATACTTCAAGAATTCCGTGTCACATACCCGACTGTGGGCACCTTTTGCATCGCACATGTTTCGAACAGTTACTACAGTCTGGCCATTACGCATGTCCTATCTGCCAGACGTCGCTGATGGACATGACGCAACTGTGGAAGTACTTGGATAACGAAGTCGCGCATACTCCTATGCCGCCCGAGTATAGTAATTACATGGCGGATATACTTTGTAAAGACTGTCATAAGGTAAAGGTGGAAAGTTTAGCGATCAATTCAGTAGAATTTTTTTTTAAGGAAAGCACAGTAAAATTTCACGTTGTTGGTTTAAAGTGTACTCAGTGTGGATCCTACAATACATGTCGTATAAAAGGTCCTCCGTGTCCAATAGCAGGTACGTTCTTCGTGTACATAGAAAGAATTCAAATGTCTACTCTACTTATAAAGGGGTAGTATGGCGACGTTATGAAAAAAAAGAGAGAATGAAAAATTGAAAGAATATTTTTATGATGATGATGGTTCTATTTGGCCATCTCCCATTCCTCTCTATCCATAGCTTTTTTTTCATATCAGCATATTTCCCCTCTTTCAGATCATTTATCATCTTCACTCGTCTTCGTTCTCTTTTCCCTGTACCCTCCATGGGACAAATATTTTAATACAACACATATTTAATTGAACACAACAAAAAATATTCGATCAATATTGATGGATAAAATGATGGACGAAAAGTACATGTGAGAATGCCAATATTAAGTATTCAAAAAAATTAAAGAAGAAATGCAAATTTTGAGACTTAGCATGCAAAAACCACATCTATTACTCAAATTTTTCTTGACATACATACATACATACAATACCTTGTGTTATCCATTTTCAAATTATAGTGAATTTAAATTTCCGTGAACATTGCTATAACAGCGTTATAAGCACGCCTCTTGGGATTTGGATCTTTGGTACTTTGCATCCTCAAAACGTTCGCCATACTTGACTGACATACTATCTGTTTATAAAGTAGTGACGAAGCGTTAATATGACATATTACAAATTTACAGGTGAGACAGCATCAAATAACACTAACAGGGTTGCATTATCTCCCAATCCGAACTTCTTGGACGATCATCCCGACAGCGGTAGTGGTCATGCAGATAATTCCGAAGGATCTTCGAATAATTAAAAAAAAACTAGTCTAGTGATACTTTACAGCTACTTGCAGTCGTAACGAGGGAAAAATAGTTTTAAGTACCTACTAAATTAGTAAAAAGTATAAATGTGCATAAGTGTTTTCTGTTTACAAATATTAGGATCGAAAAATTTTTACTGTACATACGATTATTTATTTTGATGTTTAAAACTAGTCTATTGTTCGGCGGTGCATACGCATTTTAATGGATTTTGAAAGGTAGAGAAATTTTAAAATATGTAAAAGTTGAAAGTATTGACTGTTACGCTTTTAATCTCAACTACACTCTCACCGGTTTTAATTATGGTGCGCACGGACGCAGATTAATTAATATGTTTCGGCAATTTATTTAACAAAAATATTTATTCTGCATTCAGTGCGTTGGTTAGAGTGTGGGTGTTTGGCAACTACTTTAATATTGCACTTTAATTGTTCAGTATTTTAAAATACCTGCATGCATTAAGCATACGTTTTAATCATTCAATTTTCAAGTATTAACAAGTGTAGGTTTACAGTTTTATTCATGTTTGTAAATAACATTGTATGTGATCTGAATAGTTATATGATGATAGATTTTAAGATACGTTTTAAAATAATTTGTTTTATCGAACTGATTAGTGATTTTTTGTAATATTTTAGATCTTAAAAAGGTTTTAGGTTTGTTCAGAACCATTAGGTTTTTCTTTAGGAGAAAATTTTGTGTTTGTAGTAACCATATTTGGTGAACTAGGAAGAAACCACGCCGACTTTTAATAAACTAAAAATAAATCAAATTAAGCAACGCGATGATAATTTTAGAATCACATTTGCTGTGCATGTGATAATTTATTGATAGATAATAGAAGCAAAACTGGTACGTAAACACGGCTAAACTAATTTTTTCCGTAAATTCAGTTCTATTATTGAATAAAAACACTAAACGGCCTAACGCTTATGGAGAAATGTGTGACATGGCCCCTGGCGTCTCACCATACTGCATGTGAGGTAAATACTGCCACTAGCCTTTGGTATACGGGAAAGCTAGAACTCGTTCATCTCAGTTCAAGATAGACTGTGTATCGGTGTACCGCCTGTATCTCAGTTCAATCGTCTGCTATGATTTATTTCCCGACGTTAGACTTCTTATAGTGTTTTTATTCGATGGTAATATGCATATAATTTTGCTTGGATCAAATTTTATACCATTATGTGTTGCATGTTTGGACAAACCTATTGTAAAAGATTTGAAGTAGCAATAATAAGCATCTGCATTGCGTGCCAATTAGAATTACTGCTTTTGAAGTAAGAAACTGTTAACAGTACAAATAGTGGAAGGACTTCTTTATAACCAGCCCAAACCATTCGAATTCTCATAGCTTTAGAATACATGAAGATTAAATAGTGATACATTATTAGAGACCATATGTCTTTCACATTGTACTGTAGTATGGTATTGTAACAGAATGTAGCTAATTTCAAATGTTAAAATCATCAGTAATTGTTATATCGTTCAATCTGGCCGATTTCAATACAATATTACATTTTAACATTGACGCTTTATTAATTTATCCTCATTAGCAAAAACTGGTTCTTATAGATTTTGACCTCTAGAATCCATCAAGATTGGGAAGCTAGGTCAAAAGTAAAAAAAGGAAGGTTATACACTGCCTTCTATTGAGGCCCGCAAAAAAAATTGTCTCAGATCGACCCGGAAAAAAATGTACTTTAGTAGAATGTGGCCTGTAGAATCCATAATTTCAAACAGTTCCAAGATTGGGCTACTATTTCAAAAGTTACGGCCCTTTGAATTTTCTTTTGAAATTGGTTTCTAGTCCATAACTATTGATTGAGAAGTCCGATCGAAAAAGTACGAATTGTTTTGGATTCTACGCACCAAAATTAATAAGAAAAAGTGTTTTCCGAGAAATTTTGGTGCAGTCGATTTTTGGTAAGTAAAAAAGGAAGGTTGTACATACACTTGTACTTGTATAAATTGTTCTACGCACCAAAATTAATAAGAAAAAGTGTTTTCCCGAGAAATTTTGGTGCAGTCGATTTTTGGTAAAAAAGGAAGGTTATACACTGCCTTTTTTTGAGGCCCGCAAAAAAAATTGTCTCAGATCGACCCGGAAAAAAATGTTCTTATAGAATGTGGCCTGTAGAATCCATAATTTCAAACAGTTCCAAGATTGGGCTACTATTTCAAAAGTTACGGCCCTTTGAATTTTCTTTTGAAATTGGTTTCTAGTCCATAACTATTGATTGAGAAGTCCGATCGAAAAAGTACGAATTGTTTTGGATTCTACGCACCAAAATTAATAAGAAAAAGTGTTTTCCCGAGAATTTTTGGTGCAGTCGATTTTTGGTAAAAAAGGAAGGTTATACACTGCCTTTTTTTGAGCCCCGAAAAAAAAATTGTCTCAGATCGACCCGGAAAAAAAAATTTTCTTATAGAATGTGGCCTGTAGAATCCATAATTTCAAACAGTTCCAAGATTGGGCTACTAGTTCAAAAGTTACGGCCCTTTGAATTTTTTTTCGAAATTGGTTTCTAGTCTATAACTTTTGATTGAGAAGTCTGATCGAAAAAGTACGAATTGTTTTGGATTCTGCGCACCAAAATTAATAAGAAAAAGTGTTTTCCCGAGAAATTTTGGTGCAGTCGATTTTTGGTAAAAAAGGAAGGTTTATACACTGCCTTTTTTTGAGGCCCGCAAAAAAAATTGTCTCAGATCGACCCGGAAAAAACATTTTCTTATAGAATGTGACCTGTAGAATCCATAATTTCAAACAGTTCCAAGATTGGGCTATACAAGATCTCTTTTCCATTTTGGTGAGGTTTCGAAAGTATACTCTTGGGATTTACACTGACCCCTCCAACGCATATTATGAAGGCGTACTCCCTTTGAATCACTTCGCTATCCTTTGATTTAAACACAGTTACGTATGGGACGGTGTCTGCTTCATTTCTCGCTATCCGATGTTTGTATCAACTCGGAATAGATGTCTCACATACCCGAGGAACCCTATAGGATTGGACAATCACCAACATCAAAAGTGACCAAGCTGGTGTGAAACACAAAGTGCTTCGTGCTCATCAGCAATTTGTTTTATCAAATAGCTTAGTGGATTATCGTTTAGCTCGTCACATTTAAGAAGTCATAAAAAATTATATATATATTTAATATAAACATATACAAGATTATTTAATGTGAAATTTAATGGCATGTTACATATGATTCATTTCCAGAATAAATTTGAGTCCGCCATAAACCTCCACACCTGAAAAAGGTGGACTGATATTGAAAAATCGCAAAAATTAAAAACAAATACATACTGACAAGATCTCGACCATCGCTGATCCCATGCTCTTATAGCAGCAGTTCGTGTGACAGAGATTGTGCTGGCAGATGCCCCACATCGAACGCACTGCTTAACTACTCTAGGTGTGCTGCCTAAATAAAGATGTCTGATAGAGTCGACAGTCTGTTTAGTGGAAAAATCCAAATTGATGAGTAGATACTCGGGTTCACTCAGAAATTCCAACTGAAATTGTGTGTCATAGAGTACTCCGTTAAGGGTGATATTAGCTTGCTTACCTGTAAGGGAAATGATTGTTGGGATAGTTGTGACGATGCTAAAGCTACCCTGTTATTTGAATGTTGTAGCGATTGTATTTGTACTTGGTTAGGTAAAAGGCAGCATTCATCTGAAAATAAGAGTACCGTTAAAAGGAAATGATGAAATTTTTGCTTTAATTTTATTGGCTCTATTTGAAGACCGTTCTTTTGGTACTTTGCATCTTTGGTAAAATTGGCGTTTTCTTACGAAAAGTGGGATCACGCACAGAAAACACAACCAAAAATTTCAAATAATTTTGAGCAAAATACTCGTGATTTGAATGTCTTTGTGAAGAGCGATACAGGTTAAGACACAACTTTTATGTCAAGTGCCTCACTTGATTACAAAATATAAGCTGATAGTAAAGGTGATGAGTAAAATTCTGTTGTTTCTAATTACTACATAAAAGTAAATAACCAATTTTGAGGCTTTGTAAAAATTGATCTTCGAGATTTTAATCACATTCAGCAGGAAAGGTTAATTCTTCTCAAAAGTTCAGCTGTCCTGTGATCAAGTTTTTAGTGTGTATAAGATGGCAATCGCGGGCTGTTTCTGGGACCATTACAGAAATTTGCACTCTTTCCTAGCAGTTTCTACTGTTCTAATTGAACCCGACAACAAGGTTGTTGACTAAGAAATGAAAATCTATAAATTCAGTGTCTAAAAAGACTGAAATCTGAAAAGAACCAGAAATCCGTTTAATTCATAATTCTTAAATGTTTATAATAAAAATTGATAACATTCAAAGAATAGTCTAAAAATAAATAAATGGTATTGATATTAAACAAACGTTAATTACGGAAAACGTCCACCATATTTACACAGGAAGTGTGTTGATAAAAACAGCTAATTAAAGGAACAATCATGGCCCATTTTCAATTTTCACATTTTGGCGAGGATGGAATAATGTTCCACTTCCAACATGTCACCAGCACTGCAATTTAAACTCACTCTAATCATGATTCTTTGTGCACCACGTCAACATGTTTAAGCACAAATCTGTTTTTATTAATCCGATCTATTCATCGAGACTCACTAAAATGATAAAGAAATCAACAAATGACTCTTAGGGTTTATAGTTTAAAAATTGTTACCTAAGCATTTAGATAACTTTGTATAAAAATAACAACAGAATAAAGCTACAAACAATGAATTACCAAACAATCATTAAACACAATCAGGATTATCCATTCTAATTCTGTAATACTTCCTATCAGCCCCGCCATCTACATATAGATACGCCTCTGAAGTTTCATTTTTCCGTTCAGATACGTTTGCAATGAAATACTGCGTGTCAGATGGTATATGCACGCTTGGGATAGTACGACGCATTCGTAACGAAGCATCTGATACGGAAAGCGGGGGAGACTCCTTTTTTAGAAGGGGTTCGTCCTCCACCATCCTTGGTTCATCAGGTACCTCTACAGGTACGGTAGAAGAAGTAAAGGAACCGTCTTGAACTTCTTGCGAGATTTCACCGACCGATTCTTCATCAGATCTAATCAAATCCTTATTTGAGGTGGAATCTTCTCCAGATTCAATGCCCTTATCACTTTCGTCGAAATTAAATTTCACACTATCATTTTTATTCGCACTTTGTATTAAATCCCAGAAGAATATTTCACGAGGGGTCAGTGGATAAGCGGGACTGTGCAGTTCGACTTTCGTTTCTTCGCTAACCCGGTCTAAGTTCGATGGAGGTTGACTAGATGACGGTTCTACCGGTTCATCTGTCCTTTGTAGATCGTTTCTAACAAAACCGCTCAATTCACTTTTAGTTGGTGCTTCTGGCTCGACGGTTGGTACTTGTTCTTTCTCACTATAGACCTTGATTTCGTCAGTATTGATGTTTACTTTAGTAATCTCCACATCCAATTTCTTTTCCAAAGCTTTGATGTTTTTATCAATTTCTTCACTGCGTAAAGCCTCTTCAGCTACGTCGACTTTTAATAATGCCTTTGTGTCCGATGGACTCTCCGAGACTGGTACCGCTGCAGGATGTGGACAACTTTTACACTTTTTACGCCATAACAAGACTAGCAATCCAAGAATGAGTAGAAACACAAGGAATGCAACAGCCCAGTAGTAGTAATGCCAATAGTGCGTCCAACCGAAATTCATTCGGCGTAAGGCCACATATAGTAGAGGGCAGAGACAAAACCAATATAGTATGAACAGAAATGTGGCCAAAATAGGTAGCCATATGCATCGTAACGGACGAGATCTTAGTTTATTCGGTTCGTAAGCGACGTTCGGTTCACCCATTTTGCCACAGTCACATTTATGAGGTAACTGATTGAAGTATATCTGAATTGTTCTAACAACGAAATCAACAGGAAAAGGTGTAGATATCAAACTTCCTCAAAGATTTGTAGGTAACCACAAACTCGAATTCTTTTCATCAAGGATATATTAGCCTAAGTACATTTCATATGCGTATGATGAACCATTCGAACGCATTACAGTTTAACCAAAAAAACATTTTTAAACACATTTTTTGCATGGACCATTCTCTTCCTAATTGCTTTCAAAAATCAAATTGGGTTATCAAAAAAAAGTCGCACAGCAAGATTGCTTATCTTTAACATTCCCAGGGCGAGACTAAATCGTTCCTCCCTCTAATTGGTTTTTTTATGTTACTACTACAGTTTGCATGATTGCATTTTTTCAATAATAAAGTTTGGACTTCCTGGAAACTTGGAAGGTTGGTCACAGTCTCAGATACTTTCAGACCGTCGTATATTATTAGGTATGTTTTCCACGAGTCCAGAGTTATCTGGTTTAAATTTTTTTCAGGTCCAAAAGCAGGGGGGGGGGTGACCAGCTTCGTCTTTTCTTAGCGTTTAAATCTCATTTAAGGATGCAATTATTGATGTTTTGATTTTTCTAAATTTTATTTACTCAAGTTAATTATTAAAGGTATAAATATTTTTTTGTTTTTTGTTGATAGTTAGATGCTCTTTATCGACGTGTATAACACAAAACTTTACTTGATAGCAGAAGCCATATAAAATAGCAGGCTTATAAGTTCTCCCGTCGTTTCCATGGAAACAATAGTTTTTGGTTCTGAATTTCATTTTGTTTCATGCTCCGCGTTCCATTTTTAATAGGAATAACAAATGTAAATTGATTGTTCTCATTAGTGAATTCTACACTAGTCAGAAGTACTAAAATTTATAGCGTTGGCGTACAGGCTGATCAAGGCGTAGGACTTTTAGAGATTGAAAACTAGAAGCGCTGTTGAGCTGGGAGCGTTTGAATTATTAATCTAAAAGAAGTGGCACTTTCTAGATTGAAAAAGTCTAGCACCTTTACGTTGTGACCAAGGTTTGTACCTTGAACTTGAGATAAAATCATTGTAAAATTGATTATTGCTTATTTCTGCTGATGTAACGATGATTAACGATTTATTAACAATGTAGAATAAGGTAAAAAACTATATTTTAAAAGCGATTATAAAGTGGCTGACTTCAATTAATAGTGCGCAATGATTGGTACCATCTAAAGAAAATGAACAGTTTACCTATTAGAGTATCATCAGGTTCATTCGTATTTTGCACAAGACGACTTAGCAGTCTGAACACTAAAGCCAGTACATCTAAGTTTCCATCGGATTTCGTAAACACAGGAAGACAGGCAGGCCGTAAAAGTCCCCAAATTCTAATCAAAACGAGCATTTCTCGTAACGTATTCAGAGCTTTGATATCTCGCAATATTTCGTAGGGTTTCCCTGCAGGTCTACTGTCCGGCAGTTTAACGAGTAGGTTCAATGCCAGATCAGCGACCCACTGGATTAACTGTTGGAGGCTCTGCAAAGTCGAAGGTTCCACAGTGAATTCCTTCGCATCTAAATGTATTAACACTTTATCGACATCGCTTTGGCCCTCCGCTATTACACCTGAAATTTTATAATTAACACACACTTGCGACTGTGACATAGATACCTGCTAGTGAGTCGGCTGGACTCTTATCGTGGCTGCTCATTTCGCTGGGACGCAACAAGCTTTTGAAAGCTGTGGAAATGCTGTGCAGCATCAGCAGCTGCGTTAAGTCATTTACTTTATTTTGGCCTTGTGGAGTTAGCCTAAGGTCAACAGTATAAAAGCAGTATAAAAAATAAATACAGTTACCTGTACAGAGATATTTTAATGCACAAATACTGCACGTAAAAAAACTGTTGTACATTCGGCATTTGTCGGTTAAAGCTTTCGGTCAGCCTTTCACACAACGGATCCAGCATTCCAGGACGAACAGCCAAAAGCAAGTCGTACCAATCAAGCCCAGTGACCAGACAATACTCCAACATCGTCGTCGCGTAGGGAACGCTCAAAGGTGTCGAGCTGTCAACTTGCGGTGGTAGTTTAAACAGATGCAGGTAGCCGTACGTGTCTACTATTAACAGAAGGTTGCCCAACCAAGTCATGTCAATTTGGGAGATCCGTATGTTTAGCTTTTGATACTTTGAACCGTAATCATCGCTTTGTCTTTGATTTACATTCAATGTTGCATTTGTAAAAGACTTTAATGAATCTTTATACAGACAGTGGATTGAATTATCGCTGAACGACGCAATTATATATCCGCATGACACACTGTTGGAGACCATTAATTTACTTGTTGCTAATGAGGTCACTTTGTGGGGGTAACTAAAGTGTGATTGATACTGCCACAGCTGTAAAAAAATATAACTTTCATATAACATTTGGGTCAAATGAGGTGTCCTTAGACCATACACTAGATGGACTGCTTTCAATACAAAATCATAGTCATGGGTATGTGATTCTCAGGGTAAACTAAAGTTGTGTGAAGACTACCAACTTGGACAGTCTCAAATCGTGTTCCATCCGACCACTTCAAACAGAATCATTTACTTACTCTGAAATCCATATATCCATGCAATGTCCTTGACCATATTTTAGTTGGAAATGACTGTACGGTCTAAGGAGGTGTCTCAGAGAGCCGTTGTACGCACTTTTTTGTTTGATTGATAATATGACATAATATACCTATTTTAAGTACACATCGGAGCCACAAATTGCTTGGAAAATGTGTTGTACAAGTTCTAGCAAATGTGGCTGGATTAAACGCCCGCCCGCTTAGAAATAAAAGCAAATAAAAAAAGAATGTCAAGTACGTCACGAAGATTGCATCACTTAAAAATATACACTGTGTGTCCCAGATAAGGAGGGGGATTCTGAAAGGGTAAGCGATACAAATTTGGTTATATATAGGAAAAGTTGCGCAATCAAAGGTCTAGGGAGACAGCGTTTAGAAATCTTCTGGCGTTAATATTTGGCTTAGAGCAAAACCATTGACACTTCTCCGCAGCAATTTTTAAGGTGGACTTGTCAATTTTTTAATCTGACATTTCGACTTTGCGAAACCATCATCAACTTCATGTTTTTAAATACAGCTCTGATATTCCGATATCATATTATTTTTAAGTGCTGAATCGCCCGGCCGTTAAAACAAACATTTGAAAATATAAATATTAACATTCTGAAACACCTTTGTCATTAAAACAACCATAATGAAAGTATCGCAAGATAAAACCTTACCACTGTATTAAAGTATTGTGGTTCAGCTCCAGCTAACAGTTTATGGACAGGTACTGACTTTTCGCGAAGTTCCCATACTTGTAAGCAACTTCCGCAGTCGTTGTTTGCAGCAACAACCAGTGAATCTGCATCTTCACGCATTACCCAATTTAAATGACTAATCGTGTTCTTCTTTTCTTTACAAATTACATCGCCTGCAAGTATTAGATTAGATCTTTACTAATTAGCGATGGGAAAAAGCAATGGCTTTTCTTGTTTTTTTTTCAACTATCCTAATCCTACAGAAAAACTGGTACTTGATTTGCTTTGAACGGAAGCGCAGAAGTCTCATACAAGTTATTTTTTAAATTAATTTACACATTTATCTGGATACTTATTGAAAGAAGCTGTCTTGGAATTTACAAATAGGTATATCTGGGAATTAAGGTAGAGGTTGATCAACAATGAAGTCCATTGATATCCCCAAAAGTGAAACATACGAGTTATTCAGTAAGCCAGGTTCAGCTAAAGTATTTTCAGTTTTGTATACTCAATTTTTGGGGAACTTCTCATAGAGACCATGGTTCGAGCTTTAGGTAACTTTAAAGGCCGAAACCCATTGGCAACACGCCACGCCACGCTACGCCACGCCACGCCATGTGACGAAAATGTATGCGTATATTCATCCATTTATTTACATGTACCGCGTACACACTTGACACACGCTATGCCACCCCACGCCACGCCACGCCACCTCACGTGTGACGATTCAAAACCCTCAGATGTGACCGACGCGTGTTGGTACGTGTGAATGTTCCCCGGTCGCCTCTCCACTCCTGCGGCAATCTGTTTCCGGATTTATTTTAGTATTAATAGTTTAAGGATAAAATCAGTAGCAGGACATTGGTCCTGTGCAGGTGCGTCCAGCGTGGTTTGTCGATTGGGAGCTGGTACTGGAAGCAGGGGAAGCATTTTTTGTTGTTGTGGGTTTGCTGAAAAGGGGTGCTGATAAGCTAAGGAAAGATTCAGGAGCCCGTGGAGTGCATCCGACATCTGTTCACCCACTATTTCGATTCCGGTTACGCATCTAATCATTCGGCAGTCCGCCGCTTCTTCGCCGTGTATCACCAGTTGTTCTTTTGTGATACGAGATAGAGAGGAGTTGGGTCGTGATTATCGTTGTCAAGCCAGGTACAGAAATTATCGTCACGTCTAAATTGCGTGAAAAGAAGGTGAAGGTGGTATTAGCTGATAACTGTAATCCGTTTGTGTTTGTAAGTCGAGTTGATTTTTTTTGTGGTATAAGGGTACCCTAGGAATTCTTGTACATAAGTAGGTAATATAAGAATCTTGTTAGAAGTTAAGTAGATTTGGGGTCGTTGTTCCCTTATCTGCTCGAAATATTATTATAAGAAACCCGGCCCACCATATACGTACATGTGAAATGGTAAAATTTGAAATAAAGAAAACAAAAAGGTTTTTTTTGTAGTTTTGTTAAGTATTATAATTGTTTTTTGTTGTATATTGTGGTGGTAATACTACAAATTGGCTTACTATTAGGGACATTCCGCGGGAATGTTGCCGATAAATGGCGAACAAGTAGAAAATCACCTAAAATTTTATTAAGCATGCAATGTCTTTCACGAATGAGTAGAACGTTTTTAAATATCGTAATCAAAAAAGGAAAGTTAGGTTTTGGTATTAAAGGATTTAATATTTTGTGCATCCAGAATCTTCTTTTTTTCTGATTCAAAACGATGGCAGCACATTATTCTAAAGAACTCTCACTAAACGAACTGCTTGTGCTAGTGTAGTCCATCGCACTCAAAGTTACTACTGCCAATTTTTTAAATAAAATGACCAGCGTGTCATCACGTGGCGTGTTACAAATATGTACACAATCTGTCCCACGTGAACCTATGCCACATGGCGTGGCGTGGCGTAGCGTGGCGTGGCGTGTTGCCAATGGGTTTCGGCCTTAAACCGCGTGACAAAATTCGCAGTGGACGGTAACTTTTGAACGCCTGATGTTGACTACTCTCTTAAGACGCGCGACTTGCAAAAGGTGGCTAATTTCGTCCCTAGGAAAAAAAAACAAATTCCGTCACCCAGGAGTTGTGCGCGCTTACAAGATCTTTCCAGCGACACCAGTTTGAAAACAATTGCACCAAAACTGTAGAAGACAAGAAAAAACTGAAAAATCACCACGTTAGTAAACCAAGCTAGGGGATGTCGCCGACCCCACATCATATAGCCCCGCCCCTAAAATTGTTCTTTCTTTCTACAAGCGATCTTCTACGGGCCCTGATGCGCTGCCAACCAACCAAAGTGAGATTAAAAGCTACCTTTTTTTTTGCAAAAATGTGCTAAAAACCAAAACAACAATTTCGCGTGCTGCCAAGTTGGCACAGGTCTTGCGAAACTACAAACACTACTGGTAGTGGCCATAACAACATATTAAAAAATCGGATTTAAAAAAAAGGTGCTATTGTTCAGGTTTTGTCTGTCCATCCAAACCCACTCCTGCAGTGTTGATTTTAGGAGAATTGTCCTAGAGTCCTTAAAGTTTTTGCAATAAGTAATCTATACCTTGAAGGTGTGCCAGACGACCATCAAATTTCGCTATCTTAAGGGAGAGCACCCCCATGAATTATTTTCTGAGATACTGTTTTTGAAAGTGAAACGCATAACTGTTATATGCGACAGCCAATTAGTCTCAGATTTTGCATACGCATGCCATTGGAGGTGCCAATTAAAATCTTTGAAAATGGGGGGGGGGGGGGGTGAACACACGTTCTACCCTTCATGGTATTCTATTTAAAGGTCTCATTGAAATGAATTGGTTTGTACTAGATATAACTTTCTTGCGTGACTCCTTTTCGAGATTAATAGGTAACCAGGGAGGGGGGGGGGGAATAATTTTATCTTTCATACAGGGCAATTTGGACGCCTGGAAGAAATACATGTATATCAAAAAACTTGAAGAGAGAATCTCTCGATAACGGTTTGTCGGAGGAAAGTACTCACAAAGGCAAAATGCATCGTCTGGACGACACATATCTTTATATCAAATGGTGGAAAGATCGTCTAGACGAGGCACATCTAGTGGTAATGTAAAAACTTAATTGTGAATCTCTCAAAAACGTTGGAGGAAAAGAAAATACGGAGGCGTTTATAGAATCTAGTGCTTTGGAAAGGGCCTAAACATTTGGGGACACCATAGAAGGTTCTTGCACCACGTTTCAGATGGTACTTGAACTTTCTAGGCCTTTTCCAATGCATTCTAGAGCTTCCTTTCACCTTTCTTAAAAGTCTGAGGTCGCTTCCTGGGACCCCCCACTGAGAGTATTGTAAGGAGCTTTCAAAGCTTTTTAGGTAACTGTGATGTAGTTTTCTGGGCACTACAGTTTACAGAGCATTATAGGCTAGCACACCAGAATGATGTTAAGAGTGCTCTTAAATACGGTGTAAATACAACGCTTCTTTACCGATGGTTTTTTTTTTATACTGGTAAGATTGTGAAACAAGAATTTAATTTTATGATTTATTTGGAAACTTTTTGGTTTCTTATAATATTTCGTATCTGTTGACTGTTATCGAGAAAAAATAAAAAGCAATTTTCAATACTTACCTAATGAAAGTATGATTTTTAAAATACTAGTCCAGTAGACCCTTACCTTATTTAGGTAATATCTTGTTTTCATTAATTTTAATAATAATAATAATGTCTTTTATTAGTTACACATCTTGCAACAAAATTTATAACAGAAAAACAAATATATTTATCGTGCAACTAATTGGGCAAAGTTCAGATGACAGTAGTGAAACCCACTGCCTCTGCTCTTCCACTTAACCCAGTATATTACTTACATTATAAAGGGATGACACATGGCTTCTAATTATAAATAATAAAAACTAAATAATGAAAATTATTGTTCACCAGTGCGGTACAAAAATTATGAAATGATTTTGACAGTTGGCATTTAAAATTGTGTCTTGTGTTTGCGGTAGACACCCTGTAGATCGGTAACGAAGCATTTGATGGGCCTATGTTTATGCGAACTTTTAGTCATAAAATAATAATTATGGAAAGTGTTCAGACAACTTTCAAAAAGTGTGAAAGGACCTAAGCAGTTGCTAAAGACAGAAAAGAAAGCAATAAAGGACCCTGGAAAGTCGTCCAACGCCCGTTAGTGTTTGAGCGCCTCCTCACTTAAGTTTTCCCCGAATTTCTAGACGTTTTGCAGATCCTTCCATCATTTTAAAAGCTTGTCTAGCGCTTTGCAAAGGAATTGGAAAACTCTGAAAAAGGTAGGGACAAAATTTCAGACGTGTCTACTTTGAATTTGAGCTAGACTGAACTAGATTTGCCACTAAATGAATTTTAAGTAGAGAATGAACTTATGACCACGCGCACTGAGGCCCTTTTGATCCCACATACTACCTCCACTATTACAGTAATCCGACCTCATGTTTGAGGCAAACTTGAGTTCACTTTGAGTTCTAATCTTGTGCATGTTTGACCACGATTCTCCCACAATGGGCTCTCATTTGGACCAGTGCCAGACACACACAAAGACCGTAGCGAGCCATCGCCGTGCCTGTAACGCATTCTCTACAGAAGGGTGTTTTGACCAAGCCCATGCGATACTAAATGAATTAACAGTTAATGTCGATATCAACAGGTCAATTAAAATAATATCAGATGTGAAGAATGAATGTGTTTAATAAGAAATAATTTTTATTAAGTAGATATTCTTCTACAGATGATCCAGCCCGATTGGTCATAGTTGAAAAGTGAATGGTTGCCGGCTCAGTGAAAAATCTATAAATTCTTGTAAATTTCCAAGATCTAGTAGGTCTACCGAATTCACAGATAAACATATGCAAATTTACAGTTAGTTCTGTAAATTGAATTGAAATTACTCTTGTATGTCCCTTCTATGCTTTCTTAGCTGTGACATATTACAAAATTTTTCGATAGCTTTTTCACAATCTCACTAACTAATAAATCAAATAAATTCTTCTCAAAATCCATATGTCAATAATGCACAAAGTAGGCCAGAGTCAAACAGACACCTGTTCTTCAACTGTTCATTTCAAAAAATCTCTAAAACACAAAAAAACAGCACCAAATACACTAGCTACCTAGATTAAAATAAAGATATTAGGTGATTCTATACAACAAATTCGAAAATCAAATTGAGCGCCATTTTGCTTGTGCCGGTGATTTTTGCATAACACTTGAGCTTACAAGAGGGTGGCCAATATCAATAGAAACTTGAATTTTTAACCCTGTAGAATAGGTATAAATTTCTGCTATACTCTTCTTCTCAGACTGTGCCACCCTCACATGAAATGTCACCAAAATCTAAACTACTTACTCAAAGCCTCCTTTCCACCTTCATACAAAAAAAAGCTAGGTAATGACTGACTAGTAATCACACACTTCTCCTCCACTTTCCGAACTTGCACTTTATAACATTGAATAGGCATACTCGCATCACCATTACTCACAGCCAATAAAAAGTGACCATCTACAAAAGAGCCAACCATTAAACATTCAAAGAAGAGTTTCAGACATTACTTTTTCCATAACAAATGTCGGCTGTTTTAATATGTATTCTCGTAGCACCCAAACTCTCCGTAGCTATAATCATCGAAGTTTGTGCGGTGAATTGTGGAAGCAGAACCGCAGCGAGCATTCCGGTTGTAGTCAGCAATAATGTCCCGTTTGCAGGTCGTCCTCCGAATTGCTTAACGGAGCAAGCAAACTTAACATGTTGAAATTTGTCTAAATACGCAGAGCAGTCTTTTTTTTCCGAATTAAGGCAGATCTTAAATAAGCATCATAAGCAGTTGTAATTAAAATGAGTAAAGTACCTTTTTACCGCAGTGGAAAAAGGCGGCCGCCAAAATATGTTCACCTGGAAGTTCCGTCTTTAAAATTAGATTCCAATCATTCAATAGATGATCGCGACATCGATAGATTTTGACATTGCCGCTTTCGTCCGCAATTAACAGTAAATCACCCGTAAAATCCCATTGTAATACTGTTACTGGTACAGAGTTCGATAATACCCTACAAAAAATTGGCTGTAAGGCGTAATCACTTATCAAATCCAGCAAACACATGCACTGTACACTGGATCATTATGGGGTAAATGAGTTCAATGTAAGGTATACAAAATGCAACATTTAAGTACAGTAAAGCCCCGATTATTCGATCTTCCGTGTTAAACAAGCCTCACAAATCTGATGAAAATTCCCTATTATGCGAGGTGGCAGTGGAAACGTCCGCTTTACCCGAGACGAACAAGTTGCGCATTTCTGACTTACATATGCATGTAGATATTCCGTTTTATCTGAGTTTTCGGTTATCTGAGGTATGTCTCCTCCAAGTTAGCTCGGATATTCGAGGTTCTACTGTATGTACAAAAAAAAATTGGGAGATTTTTTTTCATTTCTTTGATTTTTTTCTGAGCTACCATTAGAGTTACAAAGACAGGTGACAAGTCTTTGAGTGCGTATTTAGGTATTTTTCTACAATTATAACCCCAAGAAAACCCTCACATATATCAAGATCATGTTTTTTCAGAATGCACCAGTTTAGCGTAAGAATTTTGGAAAAATGTTTATAAAATTAGAAAGAGCACACCTAAAAGCCTGTTCAAATACGTGCCATCCATCTTTGTTAAGAAGTTGCTTTTCCAATCAGTCCGCAGGGAATTCGTATTGGAGAAATCAGGCATTTTTGCTGTACATAAGACCTACCATTATAAACCACATGAAAATATGCAATCTTTGGTAATTAAACAATACAACTGTACTCACTTGTGTACAAACCAAGGCGTGTTTAAATCTGCAACGTACACATGAGCACCCCACGTTCTTAAAGTATTGTCTTCAATGTCTGTATCGGTACTGAAGGCGACAACATTTGCACTTGAAACTGAGCATATTAGCCTGTGGTGTTCGAAACTGAAACAACTTTAAAATTTCAAATGCAAAGTACACCTTGAGGTTACCTTTCTGAGAAAGCCTGTCTCATTAGGTTACTTCCTTTTGAAGGCCTTCTGTTAATTGAAAAAATGTGGTCCATGTTAATCAGAATTCATAATCGCCGGTTAAAATAGAAGTAAATAACTTTTCAACTTGTTTATATTTGATAACAGGTACACAGTGCCAAAGCAAGCAGTAACCTTGCAATGGCTGTGGTTCAATTAGGTACAACTGAAGAATAACAAGAATATACAGAGTTGTTGGTTGACCCACTAATTTATTTTAGAACAAAAACAAACTGGTTTGATCAAACTGGATTAGTGACGTCACCAATGCAGTTTGATCAAACCTCCTATTTTTAGAAGCAAGCGCCTCTATTTTAATTAGTCAGTTTGATGTGAGATGTGCTGTAATTGGTTAGTTTAAGTAAGTTGAAACGGCGTCAAATTTTCGAAAATGAAACGTTTTAACGAAGTTCATTTTTGGATTAACTGATGCCCACAAATGGAACGGCGCGGCGTATATACGTACTTATTGTTTCATAAAACTCCATGGCCTCATTAGTTATTGATAGACGTGTTCATTTCAGTTCTCCAATGCTTCGCGAACTAGACTCGAAAAATTTGAATTCACAAATATAGTTTAATTTGTTTCAGTTTGCAAAGTATTAAAAATGTTCCGATTCATAGACTGAAAACTAACGAACGGTGCGTTGCTCTGTAGCATCCTGTAGAACCTGCTTAACTTGAGAAGGTATGGTAGGTACTAAAAAGTTCATATTCCACCTTTCCGGAGCACGTGATCATAAGTCCAAGAAAACTAACCTCAATATTTTTCATTGTGGAGTTTTTGGGATAAAACTACAATTTCTCTACCGTTTAGATTTTCACTCAAGTTTCCGAAATGGTTGAAAGACAAAGGCAACGGATCGAACAAGAAATGACAAAAATGGTCGACGAAATCGACAAACAGTACCTTAGGAAAATGCAGGTAAAATCATACAGTTAGCGGGCAAGTTAGTTCAGTTTTACTTTCTCAGGCTAGCATGCATAGATGCGCGGCTAAATGCTGCGACAACACTGATATTTCATTAGAACGGGTGCAACAGTGTGTTGAAATGTGCAGTACGCATTTAAATCAGTCTCAAAATTACGTACAAAAAGAAATTGAACATTTACAAAGCAGGCTGCAGAGGTGCGTAATGCAGTGCAATGATGAAACTAAAGACAAAATGGGACCAAATCCTAGTGAAGCGGAGGTAAAACATAATTCTTTATTTGTAAAGCACTTACTATTATCCCTTTTAGATTGACAAATATACACTTATGTTCGAAAATTGCGCAGTAAAATGCGTTGACACGCACATTGGTTTAATTCCGACAATTATGAAGGCTATGAAAACAGTTTTAAATAAGCAAAGTGAAGCAAGCATTGTAACATAACGTTTTAACTGTTTGTGGTTGAAATGTTTGTAGAATAAACGTCATTGTTGTATCTTCACTGGTAAACCACGTGCGACACATGCACCTTTCATCAAGTATTGTCTTGCCGCTTTTTTGGCATTGCACAAAGCTCTCAATAACTCAGGCTCATGTTTTTCAGCGTGTGAAAGCGTTGTTTTACTCTTCATCGGAACAACTGAAATTTGTAATTTCGTAATAATCGTAATTTTGGAATGATATGCAGAAGAGAAGACTTACGATTTCCGCCTGTTTCCCATTTTTTTTTATCGATCAATTTCCAATGTGTTTCGGCTTTTGAAGGAAGCCACTGGCTCAATAACTCTGTTGTGACCAAATCTGTATCCATGTCGGTCACTGGCCAAAGCATACCGACTACACAAGGGCTGCAATATGCTTAATTAATAAAATAATAGTAACATATTTCTGCTGGTGAGATTAACAAAGCAGAAATATATTTGTGAAAGACAACATCTATTTATTAATTCATATTCCCATCCTAATTTGAGATTATGGAATCTCGAACTTTTAATTTATTAGTTGAAATGCACTAATTTCATGGGAGGTATTCAATAAATTAAACATGGCACACTATAGTGTGTGGTGGCACCACAATCTGCAGAAAACTTCTTTTTGCGCCGCCCACTTACAAAATTCTGTTCATTCGCAGGCAGATCATTTTGAACGAGGCTGAGTCAACTCAAAAACAAATGCCAGACCAGAGATCGAATCTGGCACCTTCACGTTGTAAGCATGCAACTACCCATCATAAGAAGTAAATGAATCAATGATTTACAATTTTGATGTAGGTATCGTATTGAAAATTAAAGAGACAGCTTCTTCTAAAGAGAACCATAATGCTCACCTGCAAGCAATCTGGTACTTATGATAGGAACCAAACATCTCAACCTGTGGACCGAGGGATGTTAGTGACACACTGCTACACCCAAATAGCAGCACTACTTTGTCTATCCGCATTTTTTGAATTTTCTCACTGGCGAAAAATTGGCTACCATTTCCATGCCCGCTATATCTGTAAGCCAATTTCACAAAAACAATCAAAATGAGATATTGATCTTACACAAATAAGTCACTGTTGACTAATAAATTTTTAAAATCATCTTCAGATGGCGTTACTCCCACAAGGCCATCCCAATCAGGTAGCCAATAATTAAAAAACTTATTTAAACGATTCTGCATACTCCGTAGGTCCAGTCCTGGATTTATGAGGTATGTACCCTTACCAATAGTTACATTTTTGACGCCATTACTTATAGTACTTTCATGTTCTTTGTATAGGGCATAGGTGAAATGTATGGAGGGCATTCGTGAAATTGGTTGGTTTTCAAGAATGTCGAGCATTTCCCAAGGTAGTGCATCTAATTTCTACAAAAAAACGAAGGTAAACAATAATAAGTCGCAAATATGGAAATCCAAACCTACTTCATCTAAAATAAGCAAAACTGGGTGGCGTTTCTGTTGTGTAAACTCATACCGCTTCAGCATTTGCTGTATATCCTTGGCCAAGGTGACACGAATACTTTTCTGCTCATCAAATGGAAACATACTCAACAATCTGTCTTTTATCTCACTTATACTCAAATAAGATGCTCCCTTAATTAAACACCTCAAAATGTTTTTAGTTTTCTCTGTTGTATTCAGTTCATCCACTTTTTGTGCGACAATATTCTCAATGTCGGCACTCACAAATTTTCCAACAAATAAACATCTCCAAGGGCCTAACCACTTGCATTGAATCTCTTTAATCAAATTCTGTAATCAGCCACATTAAATGTTGCATACATAAAGATTGAATTACCTCCAAACGGTTGTTCAGGAGGAATCGAGCTTCAGAGTAGGCCATCTTCTCGCCAATGTGTTTAAAATTCTTTCCGCAGAATGACTTGAAATTCTCCAACAGCTTCACATTATCGTTAACAATTGAAAACATTTCTTGACGGATTTCTATAACGTTTCCGCTAATACCATCGTGTGGTGCGTCAATTCTAACTGTAAAAGGCGAAGGCTGATTCTTTCCACAATTAAAAACTGTTAAATGCAATGGATTTGTGTGGCGCCTTTCTAAACTAAGTTCTAAATGTTCCTCTACACTAAGCTCTGATGTTAACTGAACAATGGTCCATTCTGCAACACAAAAGTTCATATTAAAACCTTTTGCCAAAACACAACCTTGAGGAAATTCCTCCACCATTCTCAGCATGGAATTTACTTTATCTTCTGTCGTCTGGGTGGAACACTGAAAGTTAAAGTAGGCTTTATTTAATGGTGTAGGATCGTAAACGCAGTGCAGAGACTTTTCATAGCAATGGACTGCATTCAAACGCAGATTTGGCGAGTGCGATTCAACAAGATAATAAATAGCTTCAAGTTCGTTTCTCTCTAAGTTTAAGAGAGCTTTAGCTTTGCAACTCTCTACGAAATCATTTATTAATATCAAAGTTTCATGGTAAGGACAGCAGTACTTGTATAAATCGGTCCTGCAGGATAATGTATATTACCCAATCTCTGTAAAACGTCTTGTATTTTGAGATCATCATCTTCTTGATTAATCATTTATTATTAAGCAAAAAGGCACGGTATTGCGGTGGTACAAATAAAATGAATAATAACATTCACAATTTAATTTAACCGACGTTGAACCTTTTAAATTTCTTAGGTTAGGGACGCGCGATGTTTAAATTTGTGTGACTGTTGCACCGTTTGAAGAACAATTACATACAGGTACGAGTACTAGTAAAGCTACAGTGACTCAATTTAGATCAATGACGTCACTGGTTACGTCGTTATTGATTGGCCGTTATATTGGGGCTACGTTGCTATAGTTTACATTCTTGTGCCAAAACATTTTGAGCCTCCGCTTATTACTTGGAAAAAATGTCAAACATGTTTTATTGCGTATGTACTTGTTACACCTTGTATGTTGGGCAGTGAGCGAAAGTTTTGGGGCTTTTGAGTGTGTAGCTCCAAATGAAACTAGTAAAAAAGCGATAATTTTGTTAAGGTTGTTTTGGTGGTTTTCTGTTTACATTATACGATTTGCTACCAACAATTACGAATAAGTATGATTGGACCCGAAAACATGGCATGGGAAATCGTAAGCAAAATCACAATTACCTATGCCAATATATTTTTATTTTTCAATAACTTGCGTTTTCAAATTTATTGGAATCAATGCTTTTAAGAGATGTTGGTGAACACCATTCATTGCAATATTGAAAAAATTTCCCTAGACTAACCCTGATTTGATACAAACTGCGATTGAAACCCCTTGTACAGTATGTACATTGCCATTGAGTGTCGAGTTTGGTGGGACTGGAGCCACTTTGCAACATAGCAGAGACGCTAGCAAATCCTAACCTCTCTAATTTGAGAAGATAAAAGACTTTAGTGTATTTTAAAAAAAGATTAAAATTCCGGAAATCTCGTTGAACGTTTATAATGTCTAACATAATCATGTCGGAAATATTCACATCGTTCCAAGATTATTTGCACTCAGAACAAAATATGCGAGAGGTAAGGTGTTCGGAACTTGTTGGTAGCTGTGAATTATTTCCATTTTAGGAGATACGCAACATTGTCAAAGAAATTGAAAAATACGCCCGGGAAATACTGACCGTGTTACAAGTAATACATCAGGAAAACAGTGGTCCAGAAAGTAATGAATTGACGATGTCAGTTTAGTGCTTATCTGTGTATTTTTAGTTGGAGCTTCTTGTCACAAGGCGAGGCAACTATTTGAGGAGGTCCGAGCGAATTATAAGAAACTGGGGGCAGTTATTCCACCTGGTCAATATTACAGATTCAACGATCACTGGCGATATGTGACACAGAGATTGTGCTTTTTAGCAGCTCTTACCGTATTTTTGGAAGCCGGATTTTTAGTCTCAATGTCCACAGTTGCCGAAATATTAGGAAGTAATGAGTGCATTTGTTTTACAATAACTGATAAATTGAAATTGTAGTAAATATGCAGGCGCGTGAAGGATTTCACTTGGACTTGGAGGACTATTTAATGGGAATTTTGCAATTGTGCTCAGAGCTTGTGAGTAATCAAAAATTTATTGAGAAAAAAGTAATTGGTATGTTTTAAGGCACGGTTTGCTGTAAACGCAGTTACTAGTGGCGATTATAATCGACCGATGGAAATTTCCAAGTTTGTGGGTGATTTGAATGCCGGTTTTCGACTGTTAAATTTAAAAAATGACTCGTTAAGAAAACGTTTTGATGCATTGAAATACGACGTAAAGAAAATCGAAGAAGTGGTTTACGACCTGAGCATTCGAGGTTTAAAACCGGGTACACACAGCACAGAGGCGCCTGTCGAGTGAATGGATTTTTGAAATATAAATTACGCTTTGTTTTAGTTTTTTTAAATAAAGATTTTTTGCATTACGTTTTTATTATGTAGGTAGGTATCATAATGCACTATGATAGTATAAAGAGGCGATTAAAACCTGCACGACAGATTTTATTGATCACTCGTACACATGTAACTAGTTTAAATATATTTACAGGTATTCACATTTAGATGACCTAATCAAAAAACCAGAACTTCTCAAAGACCCGTATAGTAAATCGCAATTTTTTCTGTTAATTAAATAATAACAAATTCTATTCGTATGAAAAATAAGATCCTTATATTTAAAGAATTTTCATGTGTATCAAAATTAATTTTAACGCTAGGAATTATTTAAATGTAACGATCTTATTATCATTTCTACATTAATATAAGCATTTTTTTGTTTTTTATTAGTAGATGCAGTATAGTTAAGTAAAATTTGCAGTAAATGATTTTTTTGGGATTTACAGCATTGCGTTTTTATTTGGTAGCGTTTATGATGCAAATAAGGCCTGCAGCTATAATTAAATTCACGCATTATTACAAACATCGCTATATTGTGTGGATGGATCAATTCCAAGTACGTGATACTTCTCTTTTGAATTTTAATCCCAAAAAAACATTTCACCTCACGAGACAATATGGGGAATCCAAAATTTAAGCATCGGTGTAATTACAGAGGTAGATTAAATTATGTCTATACTGCATCACCAGAAAATTTTATCAATGAATTATTGAATTAACAGCCCAAAGTTTGGTTTATTTTTATTTAATTAGACTACCTATCTACGAAACTAATACAAAATATACAATCACAAGTGGCATTTCTTGCACTTAAAACTGTTAATTCAGCATTTCTGAAACACATAGAAATAGGAATGTCACTTACATATTCTAGCATTTGCACCATTGATTCTAGACATAATGAACTTAATTAACGCAGTAGACCGAAAACAACCCTAAAATTGAATAAATTATGTACAACATAATTGACAAATAGTTTGTACAGAAAATACTGTTAAGTTCTTAATATATACATTAGCGAAACAAATATCTACAGCAGTTAGTGCGTTAGTTAAGTTCACGTTACTTAAGAATTTTAAATCGCACATTAAGAGAGCTTAACTATACCAATTACTTTTAAACCTTGTAACAGCCTTGTTATTCCGTAACTTTTTAAAAAAATTATACACAAAAATTTAGAAAAATTCGTTTGGAAAACATTACAAAATCGTGTTTTATGTGCTAAGTGAAAATATTTTTTGTGAAACTACCTTGTTAAAACACATCCATCTTTCATACAAGCAACAACAGTTACAAAAACGCTTCACTTACGTATCACGGAAATAAAAAATTTCACACACTCCCAACTGTAACACAAAAAAATGAAATCGTCGTATAAAAAATTATATACAATTTAATATCGTTAAAATTACAATCACTTTCTTACAGCAGTTGACAAGAAAAGGTAAGTACATTTCACAAAAACATTTTCATTATAAAATAAATTACTAATAATTATTCAACAGCCTCGGAATTCTTATAACTAATATTTAGTTTAGATAATTACAGTTACATCTTTATATTAAAATAAATTAGAACAATTCCTAATAAAAAACAATTTGATATATTACAGCAGCACATAAAATGTCGGCCATTTTCAGACGAATACAGCGTAAAAAGCTTAATGATGAGTAACGGTACAGTGAACACAATACATTTCCATTTTGTAATACTAAGGGCTATTTTCATAACAAAATTGAGACCTCGTTACGAATATTGCCATCAGTGTTCGGTTGTGAACATTTTTTTAAATTTGCCTCAGTGGAACACTGAAACTACTTCGGGTTGTGTAATCATGGCAATACGACAGATTAAAAAAAATTGCGACACATTTTCTTTCGAGCGAAAATGTAATATGCGTCAACACAATATGTTATAACCAAAAGCTGTAAGAAGCGATCCATCATTTCGTCGCATACACGATTCAATTAAAGCTCCAGTTTTGGACATTTATTTATCTAGAAATCACTATCACACCATCAGCTACGAGGAGAATACTTTGTGCCAGCACGTTATAAACTTACAGGTTTACACATATTACACTTTTACTTTATAGAAAATAAGCTATTTTTTTTTTGTTTTTAAACACTAACCAGGTACCATCACTTCGTGATTTAAAAAAACAGATGCCATCTAAATTGAAACCCATACTCGAAGCTTACGGCGATTTTCAACGACTGAAGGAGAAGACGTCTTCCTGCACCGATTATAAAATGCAGGCCTAAGGTTGAGCATCAGGTTACTTCCATAACGAAATTATTTTTTTGAATTATGGCTTTACTTTTATTGTTGGGAGGTGTTGAATTCGATTCTGTACATTGTTTATGAGATATTGTATCCGAATCGTTAGTTAGTGGTATTTCCAAAATGTTGGCACTGAAATAAATATAATTAATATTTCGACAAATAATGTGTTAATTGTTATATACTTTCAGAGAAAAAGCCAATCAATATTTGGAGTTCTAACTACAAGATATTCTTCTTACTCAGCCCAATATATAAATACAAGCAGCAAAGTCTTACATGAGATTTAACCCAGAACCTATGTAACCCTACTGATTATAGTCGACTAAACAGTACCAGATAAATTAACAGGAAACAGGATTTCTTTTCTTTCTATATCTAAAATCTGCCTTCTAGTTGGCATACAATTAATTGCTGATCGTTTATTGAATTTTGTAACTTTTGAATCTTTCACAACATTTTAGACCAAATCTAATCTGTGACATAAAATAGATGAAAATATATTTTTGTACATCTCTGTTTTAATTTGTTATTATAGTTTGCTTTTTGACAACCTCCAAGTACCTAAAGTTTTTATCCATAAAAAATAAATATCAATAAAACAAAAAATACAAACATAAAAAGTATGTTTTTTTTCTAGATTATCCATTGGTGTATTAAGGTTGAATTGAATTTGACGAAAATGCCATTGTCTGTTGTGATTATGAAATACAAAGCGTTGAGACTTTATTGTCCTTTGCAATTTGGGCATGGGAAAAAATTACATTTGCGCATAATCTTAATCAGATCAAGCATAGGTACATACTTTTAATAAAAACAGCTCATATTACAAATTGGTAATATATAACCAAAAAAATTTCCTCGCGAGAGCACACGCACCTACCTTCTTTAATTATTCAGAGAAATTGGAGCCATGCAGTTTTTGTTCAAAAATTGGCAAAAGGTTTCTAGCTTGCAAGAAATGCATCAAAACAACCAAGATCTTCACTTTACTCAAATTAATTCCCTTCAAAATCTAATTATCCACTAAAATTCGAGTCTTATTTATAAAAATTAAACTTCACATAGTTTATTTTTAGCATTTATACCATTTTGAATACCAGAAATTGAATAGTCATAATCATAATGAACAACCATAAAACTACCACAATTTTAGCCAATTTTATAAATGGATATTGATTACAAATATACTAAAGTTAATCATGTAGGGTTAATAATCATATCCCACCCATTATCTGCTTTGAACGCCTTTATTGCAGGAAAACAAGAAGCGCCCAGAGTTGATAGTTTGGTCAGGTTGCATCGAGGGTTGCGTAGGTTTTTGAATATGAACTTTTTGAGTTTCTCAAAAGCTCAAGTCTCTCAAGTGTACACTTAAAACGTTATTTTCATGTTGAAAGTCCCCCAGATGTGAAATGTTCTAGAGAAATATTTTTACAGAATCAGAAGAAGTATACCCATAAACCTAGGTAACGCCGCAAGTTCAAACTGTTAGGTTACTGAAAAAGACCCAACCCAAATTAACAATATTGTTAACTGGTTTATCACGTATAGATGTTACACATTCTTAGCATGTGTAAGAAAATTCATAGAGTTGAGTGGAAGAGCAGCGAAGTATGCTTCAATTCTTGACTGAACTCCGCAACTTTTCAGATTATATGTAGATATTTATTTTGTAAATGCCCAATTCCTAATAGACATTTATTATAATAAACGTTTTCCAAAACGCCCTGCAAATTAACACAAATGACAGCAGAAGGGTATGCCTAAGAAACAAATAATTGCCTGTACCGATTCTAATTGTATCCACCCACGTTGTAATCTTAAGGCGCTGGTGCTTGATGGAAAGACCCTACTAGATTCTGAAAGAGGTCAGATCTGTATTGAGATAAGACCCCTGCGTCCCTAATTTGCGCTTTGTGCATTAGTTTATTAGTGATTTGTTTCTGAAAGGTAAACGCATTAAGTAATATTTTATGCAGGCAGGTCAGACTAATTTTAGCGCATTTTTACAAATTTATTTGTAAAAAGTTAGCTTTTAATCTCACTTTGGCCGACTGGCTGGCAGCAAACGCAGGCCCATAGCTCGCTTGTAGAAAGACGAGGGGACAAAGGGAATGTGGTTGCTTCCGAAAAGATCTTATTGATGGTGTAGTCAAAACTGCCTAATTAAAACACAAAAATGCGCTGAAGTCCTTTCCATCTCACACAAGGATTTTGATAGTTTTTTCCCTCATATTCATACTGAGTCAAGTGGACATTTTAACTCCCCAAATATTAATACATAGATCATAGCACTGTATACATCAACCTTGAACACAAGTCTGCAATCTTTATACACGATAGTGCAATTCATACTTAAGTTCACTATTAATCTTATGGAAGCTAGCGCTGCCGAAATGTGTTGTTGTCTCACAAAAGACCCGGGTTGGAGAAACCTATTAGCCTAACAATGGCAGGTGCCATTAAGTACCAATAATAAATCAATACAATACATCTATTTCAAAGAAAGAAGCAGGTAAAGGATTTGTGACAACGCTGTGTAATTTACGCCCATAAGAAATAACATTGGCCTATGATTTACATACTGAACTTGCAAGTGTGAATTGCATTATAGACTAGTGTTTTTAACTCTCTAGGCAATACACCCTAGTTTTCTGCTATTTGGGTGAATAGGCACATTCTATCCCTTTCTTGCAAAAGTGGTAAACTACAAGCTTGAAGTTCTCATCAAGATGTCATCTACAATCTACAATCAATAGAAAATTAAATTGATACAAACCGAAAAACCATAACCTATGTGCCAAAAAAGGACTACTCCATTTTTATCCATTACAATATAGCAGCCTTAATAATTCACATCAATAGATCTAAAAAAAAGCATTTATTTTGAAAGATGCAACATATCAAAAATTGAAAACCATTCAAAACAATTAATGGCACTATTATACCGTGTGTCCCAGCTTAAATGCATCATAGGGAAACAGAATGAATGTATTTTTTAACAAAGGATCCACAAGGCCTTTGATATGTATTTGAAGTTAGCCTTGAACGTACATAAGTTAATGTATATAATGGTATTTAGTATTTTGCTGCCAACAAAAGTAGTAGGTATTTATAAAGTTTCCTTTGTTGAGACCTTTCATTAGAGCAGATACCGTTACTCTACGGTACCATAAAGAATAAAGTCACCCCCCCCCCCCCCATTGTGTATTGTGAGATAGGAGAAAGGATGTAGAAAGCAGTTCCTTTCTTTGAGACCTTTAATTAGAATACCTTGAAAGATAAAATCAATAATCCCCCCCTTCCCTCCAGCCTGATTTCAAAAAAGAATCGCGGAGGTGTTATTATTATTATTATTATTAAACCAATTACGTTCAATGAGATGGATTTCAACAAGTTCTGACTCGCTTTACCTCCACACAATTTTATTACGTAGGAGACTAAGCGGGATCTCGTTTACTCCAGTCACAAAATGTTTAATTACAACTAAAATTAGATAAATGTAAGGTTGCAATGTAAACATGCCCGAGTATATAGGTATTTAACACTGTAGTACTCGCGTGGGGTACTTAAGTATCCCACTGCCTCTTCTGAGTGTCATATTTTGGAAGTGGAGATGAGTTCAAGCTTCCGGAGTTGGCTATTTGCGACCAGACATCTGTGAAACGTGATACTGCAAATCCACATATTGTACGAAAAGATAACATTACGAAATGGAGCAAGATACAACCACTTGTATCAAAAAGGAGAGCACATCGCATAGTACTGAAAGCTCCAGGACCAGTAGGTACCGCAAAAAATGTCCGCACCAAAGATCACTTTGCCCATACTGTCTTAGAGTGCTTCTCTTTATACAGGGTGATTCCTATAGTACCTGCCACCGTTTGGGAGCGTGTAGGTGGTGCGTAGGGGAGTATTTTGATATAGGACACTTGGGGTCGGAAATCTAAAATAAGGGTGCCAGAGCCAAATTTACCTTCTGGAATTTCGCGCCTGTAGGTAGGCAACCCAACCGGCCGGCGGTGCACACGGAGCGATCTCAGGCGGCGATGTGTGGCTGACACTTGATCAGAATTTTGTTTAAACCCACGAAATCCCGTCTGCAACGACGCGTATCAAGTGAATAAACACTATGGCAATAGTATAATAATAGTTGGCTAGATGTAGGAAGTGCATTGAGAACAACGGTGGCCACGTTGAACACTTGTAAATGTTATTGCTTTTGACTGTCGTTTTCCCTCCTTCCCTCCCATTTCGCTTCCTCGCGCTAACTCGCTCTGCATCGCTCCGCGCGAAACGTCGGTCGGTTGGGTTGCCTACATACAGGCGTGAAATTCCAGAAGATAAATTTGGTTCTGGCGCCCTTATTTTAGATTTCCGACCCCAAGTGTCCTATATCAAAATACTCCCCTAGGCACCCCCTATACGCTCCCAAACGGTGGCAGGTACTATAGGAATCACCCTGTATGTAATAAATGATCAAAATGAACGTGCAAGGAGCTTAAAAAATAATCTATTTCAAAGCCATAGGCGAGGAAAATGATACACTTACAGTATCTGATTAACTTTTACAAATATACTTAATATTTTACGTATAATATTACACGTGTGCATTCTGTTAATTACAATTAAGACATAAATACGTTTATTTTGTTACAATACACCCTTTACTACGTCATGTTTACGTGTCTCGTTTTTAGACAACAACCATTCTTTGTATTTATGATATGATTTGAACTCATACGAAGACGGCTTCGGATGAATCAATTCCGTTCTTAACTTTGAAAGCCACCTATAGTATTTTTATGGAACTACTTAAACGGTAAACAACTCTTGCATTTACACTGGCTATCTAGTGTAGCATGATCTTTGACTGTCGTTAGGGTTGACAAATTTACATACTCACAAAGGGATCTTATACACTCTTTTCACTCCCAAAAATGGGGTTGGCTAAAGAACACATTCCAAAGGCTTACTACAGTTCAAGAAATTTTGATAATCAGATGAAGACGACAGTACACTTATTTATAAACAGGAAGAATAGGAGAATTATTTTTTGGTGTGCATGAGGGCATAGTAACAAACCTGAATACAGACAATGTTCCATTAATTGGGAGATGCATATCAATCTAGTGAACCTAAAGAAAATCTGTCCTCCCAATAAAAAATTATATTTTTAGATCCAAGAATCAAAGGAATAGGTTCCGTGTATTACTCTGAAGCATTCCCTACAGAATCGATCAGCAAACTGACCTCCATAGTTCTACTGCACCTAATGCATTTCTTGCTGGTACATTGTTTAACATTTTATAAAATAGATTAAAGATATAATTTCAAAGTTTTTTTACAAAATAGCCCAATACTGCAAGGTGGTTGATAAGTTTACCTTTGCTCAAATCACATGATTGTAATCTGGCTTTTTCTCTAAAGGTGTATATTTACCTGTCTCATCTTCCTATGTAAAAATACCAAATAGGAACTTACCTATGACTATTAAGCGTATTAAGAGAATGTGTGGAGGTACGAATGTTAAGTGTGCTGGAAGGTGCACTGGAGTTGCCTCCCACGTTTTTGTAAGCGTATGTATGAAATTTGTTGTTCTTCCACTTTTCACCTATGAAAACGAACAGTTCACATTTACTCTCATACAAAAAATCAATTTACCATCGAATCCAATCTGTGTTAATACCCCATTCACATTGTTAATTGTTTCGTTAACGGATTTTCGCCTGCTGGAATCAAAGGAAAGACTAACACTGTTCGTTTTTGGACTAGTTAAGGTGTTTGATAATATCGATTGTTTTTCATGCTGTTCATCTGCACTATCACTAATATTAGAAACGCTAAACACCGAACAACCTATAGTTCTATCACCATCAAGAGTGTCATATGTTACCGTACTATCGTCGTAATTGTCCGTAAGACTAATATTGGAAGTAAAACTACTATTAACACTGGTAGTAAGCGTATTCAACCCGACATTAACGTTCAGATTAATGCCCGTTTGCACATTTGTATCACTTGATTGCCTCGTGTCCGTCACGGGTACTTCAATGTTATTTGAAGCGATTATTTCTTCGAGCGAGAACGGCGTTGTGACAAAGTTGGACGTATCGAGAAGCGAACTAGGAGCTTCCAATGTTTGTATTTCTAATGAGAATGGAGTGTTGGCACTAGGTATAAATACGTCGTCTTCTGCAGGTAACAGGTGGCATGGTGGTTCGTAGTTCGAAGGTGGCGTTTTCGGTCGAAAATGCAACCTAAACAGAAGCAATATTTAAATATCGCATTACAAATTCAATTTCTCACATTCTTTTAACTATTTTTAGTAGCACTCTTAACTCTATAGGTGAAGATGGTTCAATGTAGGAAAATCATTGGGATTAATGATGGAAATTACAATGGCTTTATGGGAACAGCAGATTAATGTAAATTTGGAGCCAAACAAACATTGATCTTCCTAGAGTCATATACCTAAAATTCATATATAGTTTGGGGTGGGAGTAAGTGTTTCTTTTGAAATTTTTTATTTAAATTGCAATTACTTAAGTAATTCTTTTAAATTTTTTGAAATTTTTCTTGCAAAATTGTGAAGCTTGAAGCTCTTAAGCTGGCCAAAAAACAAAGTTATGTGTTTTGTCTATCAAAAACACATTAAAAAATCCCACAATATTCAAAGACCTCACACAAAACAAAATTGGAATATGGTTGGCACCTCCATTCAAGAATGCAGTAGATTTATGGAATTTTTTACAAAATTATGAGTTGGCCTTTTCAAAAACCTAATCAGCTGTAGCCGATAGGAATATTGCATTTTTTGTGACTCGTTCCCACGCGAAATGTTTTTTTTTGACATACCAATATTTCTCTTGCCTATTTTATGCGATGTGACCCAACTGTTAGAATTCTTTTGGAATTTTCAAACGTACATTCTAATTATTTGTGTACTCTGCATCAAGGATGTACGATACAATTTCGTAAACAAATTTTCAAAAATTGTGTCATACCTTTGTGGCAGACTTAAACTAGGCACCTAAATATTGAATCTCTTAAGGTTAGCTCCCATAAGAAATGTTACACTAAGTTTATTTTGGGAATATTTTTATGTCATGACATTTTGATTAATTTTTTTGTCTGCAGGGTGTCTTTTAGGGAGCTTTAGTTAAACGTTTCTGGGAAAGTGAAAAAGAATTGTAATTTCATGTAGAATTTAAAAATGCAATAAAACATAGTGACTGCTATTTAAAATAACAAAGTTACTAGCTACTTCCGAAAGTGCACCCATTTTTAAAATATATTTTCCATTGATTCTGGATTCAGAGTAACTCCTAAGTGCAAATTTTCAAAAACCTACCTATTTCACTTTCCCAGAAACGTTTAACAAAATCTCCCAAAAAAACACCCTGTATATTTTAGTCATTTACTTGTGAAAGTACAATATGTGATCAAATTGTTTACTTCTTTTTTAATGTTTTTTACAGATTTATATTTGGAAACTAAAAGTGAAAATAACATAGTGATAGACCAACACTGATATCTGTAGGTATATGAAAGCTAGTCAAAAAACACTAAATAAATACACTTTCGTATTTAAAAATACAAATAAAAAACAGTACAACCGTTTATCTTTAGTACTTAATTATACATTTCCAAGTTTTGGTAGGTTAAAAAAAACATGTCAAACTAAATATTGCATCCTTTCTTGTATTCCCTGGGGAACTTCCATAGGCTAGCCAACTGGATACTTGAATTACTTCTGTTTTGAAAAACGTTCTAAAAACCAATCAATGTTAAAGTAAAATTTACAAAATAAAAAAATGGTCCTTATACCGGGTATGTATTTTTTCGTGTGCCAATATTTGTATCTCCGTTATTTAAGATATTTTGTTAAAGCAAAGGTGCTAATTTTGAAGTTTAAAGTTTGCATAATAGTTGAATCTCAATTCGCAATTTTCAAATATTTTTTTTACTAGAAAACTACCCATCTTTACTAGTTTTACTAAAGCGAGTTGAGAAGAATGGCATAAATTTCTTTTTTTTACTTATGATGACCAATTTTCATTTTTGAATTTTAAGCAGGTAATCTTTTCCAATTAAAACGATATACAAAACCCGATTGTGACGATGTATTACAACGTGAAATTGTTTTTTACTAAATAAACATTATTATTATTATTATATTATTGTTTTCTCTTACGATTTGACTACATTCAAGAGATTGCCTTGTAAACAAATGACAATAATTGCTATCACACATTAATTGTTTTATTTTGGTTAGGACATTCAATTTAAAATATTTTACCAAAATATGTATCTTATCCCAATGCAGTAAAGCGTGGTAATATTAATTGGTGGCCATAATAGCAATAAAAATAAAATAGTATATGGATATTTTAATCAACCATTATATAAAACTAAAATTCTTTACTGAAAAATCCGAAAATGCAAAATGGTCGCCATAAAAAGGTCCAAGTTGTACACCATTCTGCTTAAAAAGTGATTCCATTATTATGAAAACTAAAACACAAAGATGCTTTTATTTTAAGATTTAGTTAGGTATTTATTTATGATGATCATCCCTAATTTGAAATGCAAATTTTACACTTCGTGAGATTAGCTCCCATACATGTACACAAATTAGTTTCCTGTCTATTTGTCCTTTACTCATGATGTGAGGATCGTTTTTTCGAAATTGCAACAAAAATATTTAACCAGAATTTTTTCCCCCACCCACGCTCAAGGATGCTGCACTTTGGAGTAGCTAGAAGTTACTCGAAATGTAAATTTTGCAGTTGTATCACTAGCACAATGCAGAACTGCAAATATTACACATGTGGTCCAGGTCCCCGGTTACTTCTTTTTTGCGAGTTCAAGCGCTTTGATAATAACGCTGCAAATCAATTTCCATACAGGGGGCAAAACTTGTAATAACATTTAATCTTTAATATAGTAAAATGTTTTTTGTATATTTTCCCTTTGTTTCCCATTTAAAAAGATTACAAGCAAAGGATATAGCGCATTGGAAATATGGAGTCCTTGTGAAAATTTTAAATATTTTGGGAAAGTTTGAAACTGGTTCAGATATATGTAGGAAATTATGGAAATGACTAGAACAATGATAAAAACTAAATGTAAGTGGTGAATCATTGGAATACTTGCCAATCCTTCCTAACTTCTTGAAGAAATTCGACCATTTCCTGTTGTTGTTCTTTCGGAAAATTACTTTCAGCAGGTATGCTCCATTCTTCGACGCTCTCCTCCGGCTCTTGTTTGACCGTACAACCATTTTCACTAAACGCACCCTCACTCACACTTGTCCGTAAATGACTATTTTCAACAATTACTTCGTTTTTAATGTCCGTTTTAAAATAATTTGAATGGTTATTTAAGTGACTACCTACATCTAAATTAGTAATTGAGTCTGCGCAACTTTCACTTTTGATTTCACTTGATACTAATTTCGGATCGTATATCGTAAAATCGACATTCCTCCAAAAGTCGTCCACATCGGTCGCTACTCGATCTAAAATGACGCGACCACCGCGCCCCAATCTTCTCCTCGCGAAACCGATGCAACGTCGAGGGTTTGATAACGATGTCAGTGTGAATCGATACCTCTTATCGCAAGAACCGTTCTCTTCTCGCGAACACCACGGCCAGTTACCTTCAGTCTTTTGTGGCTAGAATTATTAACGATTAAAGATAGTAAAGCAAGGAATTTGTAATGGCCCCCCCTTCACCAACAATCCCACAAATTCAAAAAATTAATGCTAATTTGTTGCTCATAAAGAATACAGTAAATTGAAAATGATTTCTTGACCCATAGAAATTGGTTATCAAAAGAGGGCAAATTTGGTGCAAATCTGTACTGGGATATCAAAATCTGCTACTAGGGAGTGTGTGGATTCATTCTCCCTCTTACGGTTTATTGTTAGCAACAAATTCGATGTATTGTCAATTATTGTGTAAAGAACAGTTAGAGCAACAGATCATGTATGCAAATAACTACCGAGCGATTTTCGAAATTGGGTCGCCTCTTTAACTTTTTTGTTTTTTATCTCCATTATGTTATTCACACGAATGAATTTGTGACATTTTGAAGCTGGTTTCTTCTAGAAAAGTTGAAATATTTTTGGGTAAAAATTTTTTTTTGAGAACCAAATGAGGTGTAGGGATTCCATTTGAAAAAATTGATTAAAAGTAAACAATATGAATTTTCAAACTTTGAATGAGTCTGTGTAACCATAAGTGACTTGACCACCTATCAATGACTTTCAATGGTTCAAAGCACTATTTATTTTATTTATTTATTTATTATCCCTCTCTTGTTCTGGGCCTTCAACAGGCTTGCCACCCAATTACAGAGTGACTCGCATAATGCTTTTTAGAGATGCCTCTGCAGAAGGTCTTAAGATTGTTCTATACTACTCCGGTATTTACCTTACGAATTAGGAAAACTGCAGGAAAACCTAATTCGGAGTAGCCAGTAGAATGCTCGGAACTGGTCCAAGGTAATTCCAATCTCTGCCACAGATGAAAAATTGACCTCAACCCAGGTTCGAACACCCGACCTCCAGATTTATAGCCCAACGCTCTACCGTCTGAGCATAAAGCTCTAGATAACAACATAAAAAATAAACCATATAAAAATAAATAAAAATGAAACTACGAAGTCCAAAAATAAATAAAAAATATGTATGTCAAAAAGTGACAAATGGAGTGCGATTGTCATTTTGTATCAAAATAAATAAAAAAAAACAGGGTGTCCCATTAAAAAATCGAAAATTAAGCTCAAATTGCATTTCTTTACTTCAAAAAGTACAAAAATTATAGGTCACTTTTGAAAATCACTCTGTACAAATAGAGAGAGAAAACAGCACTCCCCAGAAGGCTTACCGCGAATGTCGAATTGTCATCAATAAAGTTGGAAGTCCCACTTGTCCCAAATTTGAAAGTTATGTGCCAATAATTGAAGACTAATTAAGATTAGGTAATTTGTGTTCACAAAATTAGAATTTGTGTCCCTATTTTTTCTGTTGAAATTCGAATTTTCATTAATTTTGCAGCATGCGATTTTTTGGTTTTCTAATAGAACGCTAAATCAAATGGACAAATTCGAGAAGCTTGTTTTTTGAATTAAAGACTAATTTGTCCCCACAAGTATGCACTGAACGAATTTTTTTCTTTTGAAATTTGGCAACATGAGATTTTTGGAATTTCTAATTAAAAAAAACGTTAAATCAAAAAATCCGAAAAATGTGTGTAGCTTGCATATGTTTTGAAATTAGCTTGATCGAATCTTTACAAAAAAATAAGTTTTTTAACAATCCTTTGTTGTTCTTGAAGTTATTTTGTGGACTACGAATGGATACACACGTGACAAAATTGATGAAAAAAGGTTTTTCATTTAATGAAAGACGGTTTTTCATTTAATGAAAGACTTTATCAGTAAATGTGGGTTGCCCCTAAATTCCATACACAAATTTGAACTGTATTGCTTTGTTTCTATTTTATAGGAAAGAGTCTCCTGACCACAAAAGCAAAATATGACCACGATTTTAGAATTTTTTGACACCCATAAAAAAGGTGATTAGCAATCTCCCACAATTGTGGGAAGGTGAAAGACTGCCTTCCTAGGCTCTGTAGGGCTACCATCTGGGTCCCGGGGAACCTTACAAACTGGCAAGTCACTCCAGAAGGAACTATGTCAAATCTTAGAATAATTTCATATGAAATTAACTGCAAGACAGCCGTCCAGAAAGGGTTATCACAACCCCAAGGTAATGCATATTCCCCTTTACAAACATCTACTTGGAGAAACACTTACAAGAGCTTCCTTTTGAGTGACGCCTCTCGGGTCCTGCTGACTTATAGGACAAAGTAGATCTTACTTACTCCATGGTGGAGTCATTTGCACAGGCATGTTCTCTGAGGACTGTCAAGATGTCTTATAACCATCCCCGGTGGTACAGGGCGCTCAAAAAGTAGAAAACTCTGTTCAAAAAGACAAAGAGCAAAGCTATAGCAGATTGAGAGGTCTATAAGGTAAACCTAAAACCCGCCCTACATTATCAGTTCCAGCAAGCGCCGCAACTGTCGAGTGAACTGTCATGCCTTAACTGAAAGCAGAAAGTAACTTTCACTCTACACACAAATCAAAAAACATCACTCCAAACCGTTGCATTAAACAATTTCTAAACTACGCGCAAAGTCATTTCTTCTTATTTTCTTGTATCTACAATTTTCAGTAGAAAGAAGTTCGTGTTCTACAAGTCGCAATCAAAAATAACCACAGAAATGTGTTGCTGCCACTCTAATTGTAGTGTTATCGTAGAAGAAAAAGAGAAAATGGCTGAAGGAGTCAATATGAATAGTAAACGAACTTTGATTACCTATTAGTTACGTAAATGCATACTCAAAAAATGAAAATTTAACGATAAATTGGAAGGAAACCTTTGGTACTTAATTAAACAAATAAATTAACTACCAGCCATTTGGAGACTGACAGTTTGAGCTGTCCACTCTATTATTTCCAATGACGCTATCTTTATTTTGGCGCGGCTCGATGAGTGGAGACGCACTACACATACATTTTTAATGCTTACAGTCCATAACTCAGCCCAGGAGTTTCGTCGCGCTGAAAGTTCGCAAGCCGGGCCTCAGTTCAGTCCAAGCTTAGCGTGAAACATCCATACACATTTAGGCCTGGATTGAACCTGACTGAAAACTGACAAATAACTGTGTGTATAGGGGAAGCATAAGGCAGCAGGACGTCGGAGAGAGGCGTGGAAGAGTTTGCAGCGTTATAGAATACACCTCCTCTGCATCTCGTTTAATAAAATTTTAACAAAGGGTCATATTCCCAGCTAGCCTCAGACTAGAGGATGGTTGCGACATGGACAACCTCTCAGAGACAGCAGAGGTACTGAGGGACGCTCACTTTCCCGGAGCCATCACAGCGCCATACCCCACCTGGACAGAGGTAAGCCCCTTCATACCCACAGAGAATGACTGGGTAGTTGCCAGTTAGATGCTGGATGTGGCGAGATTGACCTGGGCAGTGAAATTGTTCTCAGCATACAAATCACCAGGATTGGATAGCATAATACCGGTCCCCCTACAACGGGGAATGGATGTTATTGTCATCTACCTAGTGAAAATATATATAGGGGCTCTATTGCTTTCAGATACATACCTAAACAATGGAGGAAGATAAAAATTGTCTTTAGCTATACCGAAAGCATATTGCCCAATCAGTTTGATGCCTTTTCTTCTCAAAACACTTGAAAGACTGTGCGATAGATACATAGGGAATTTCTGCTGCACCCTAACCAACACGTATACTCCCCAGGAAGATCTGCACTGCGCCATAGGACAGATTGAGAGATCGCTGGACTATAAATAGTCCACAATGGGAGTCAAAGATATAGAAGAGACTTTTGACAAAATAACCTTCGAAACAATGAAAATGGCTTTACGCCGCCATTGCATAACGAAAGTCGTACAAGGCTGGATTGCGTAGCTGCTGAGTCTCAGAGCAGGGAACATCAGCGTTGGCGACAAAATACTAGGTGCACAGTGGGGTGCTATCACCACTTTTGTGGATCTTACAGTAAATGGTCTCTTCTGTCGCCTCCATAACAGTGGCTACTATTGGGGTATGTGGATGATATATCCATACTAATAGCGAGCAAATTAGAGCTACTCTATGCAGACTGACCACAAAGCAAAGTATTTTATGGTCCAGACCCGGTTCTTCAGCTTACAATTGCAATCTTAATAACTCCAGACACCCAAACCCAGAACAGGGATAGGCATGTCACTACGCAAGAGAAACCTTCAAAGGACCATCTCGTAGCGTGGCGAGTCTTTGAAGACGGCTATCAAGAAGGAAGCCTAGGTTACTCGTGAGCATACTCTCTGAGCACTGCAAACTTAACAAACACATGCACCGCATGGACTTGGTAAAATCACCATCTTGTAGAGGATGGATACAAATTATAATTTTGTGAGTAGAAAGTAGCCACGTTATAGGCATATTAATTTCAAATTTGGGACAAGCGGAACTTTAAGCTTTATGTGTAGTTGACTCAGTTACACCATTTTTGAATATATACTATTTTTGTTGGAAGGGGGCCAACTTAATACATTTGAATACATACCATATGGTAGGTACACATCTTGTTGCGACGAAAGGCGAACTGCCCTTCATCTTCAACATCTTCTGGTTCTGGAGAAGCGTGGGGCAGAAGCTCTTCGTCAGAAGACAAATTACCGAAATCGAGCATGCCCGATCCTAATCTATGATTTGATAATTTGTGTTTCCTCTTTTTGTACTGTCTCTTTTCCTTACGAGGTATAATCTGGAACGTTCAATTATTAAACGGGGAAGGTGAATAGCATAAGATACGAACTTCATCTTTAAGAATAGGCTTGGACGACCATCCCTGATTGTAGTGGTTATGGAAAATAGGCGTGAAAGCGGGACGTGACGACTTAATTGCCGATAATTCGGCAATAACGCTGCCACTAAAGTCCTTCGCTTGATACCTCTTTTCGAACACCTCCACCGTCAGATGTACAAACTCCCTCTTCATTTTCTCTCTCCTTTTGATTAGCTCCAACAAGGTGACCGCCCGAGATAGATCCCTACGTAGTTTAAGCATTTTCTCGTACGACGACTCATCATTTTTGCGATTTTTCCGGGTTTGCATTTTTTCTGTTCTCCGCCTAAACGCTATATACGGATTATTACCCGCCATACCCTGTCGGTGTTCTGTTTTGACGTGCAAAATCAACGGATGTTGCTAAAAATGAGATCGTTAGAAGTACACAATGCGCAGAAACTAGTCGAGACATTCTACTACTTCTTTTTTATGTACACTCTCTAATATTTACCATCAAATTTCTGCTCACCGTTTTCAGCCTCTTATTCAGCCAATAATCGAACACAGCAATGATGAGATCATCGTCCTCTTTAAGGAGAGCTTTGGCCTCGTTTAGTGTAACGACTGTCTGTCCGCTGCTTTTCTCCAGCTTATCCATCATCTCTTCGAACTTCAATGGTGTTAATTCCAATCTTTGCGTTTGAGACATTAACCACCTTTCATCATCAGAATCCATATCATAGTCGATGATATCTTGTTCCATTGTAAAAGCTATTTAAACAAAAAACACTTTAACAAAACGAAACAATTTTGTTTTCCGTCAAAAGTAGGTAATTTGTTTATTTTAAAAGACATTCACTAGTGCATTTTCTATCAAACAAAGTCATAATGAAGATTCAAACTAGTATGGCAATCCAATTGGCCACCATTGGAAGAAAAATGAAACATTGTCCATTCTCATTATTTTCCACTTCCTTAAATTAAGGAAGGAGAGGGTGAAGCAAAGGCTGCTATCAGAAACCTTGTGCCGTTCCGACTGCAGAGATATTCAAATGGCTTTCCACCCATAAGTCACAGCCCAGACACGATAGGCAATGAAATTTATTATTTTATATTTGTTTCTTAGAATAAAAAAAGTGGTGGTATGTGATACCATTTTAATTGATTGATATTTTGTAAAAACAGCCAACAAACAAAAAATATATCAGTAAGCTCATTCATTCAGTTTCAAAGTCTAAGGACTGACCCAATTACCCAAACACTTACAAGATATTTGAAAATCATGTTTGAATTTTATTTTTTTAACTACCCTTATACCCTGTCTATATTTTACAAACTTTTTTACTAACTATAGACCACAATACATTATAGAGGACAAGCATTTCCTTTATTGTCTAAAAACTGACACCACCTCCCTTAATTTAACTGCACCTCCCTGATGTATTGCCTTATATGTCTCCAGTTTCTGTGTGAAGTGAGTAATTTAATTTTCTTAAAAATTGCAGTTTATTCCCCAAAATCCTTCATGAAGAAATATATGTAGTTTATACTTGCATAAATTCCGCCCGTCCACGGGTTTCTGAGATCTCGTAGAAGGCTGCGGTTCATCATCGTTCAGTTATTACATTCACTATACCTATCTGTTATGCATTTCGTTTTATTTTAGATTTTCGGTCGGCAACCTGCGGCCCTTTTGATATAAAGTTTATCTTTTTCGAAATTTACTTGCAGCAAATAATTAATTTGTGATACTTGTTTACTTTCTGCCTCGCTTTCTGACATTCCTTTGTTTTTTATTAAAACAGCCTACTCCCATGTATAAACATGTAATTAATTAATGGATAGGTACTTTTGTGAAAAATATTGAATAACTTAAAACTACAACACATCTTATAAAAATTGAAGAGAATACAAAAGACAATCGAATAGTGAAGTAAGTTTGGAAATTTTACAATTTCCTTGCGAACACCCTGTATCACTAAAGCCAACTTTCTCATTATCAGAGTGTTGCCCTTTACTCGGATTAACATTATTGATCAAATGTATTTGTTAACTTCAAAATCAGGCTTGCCTATGGAGATTTACTCGGAAAAAAATTAATAAGATGGCAACGTTGACAAAAAACCAAAACATGAGGGTTAACAAGTGTCGTAAAAATGGGACGCCCTGTACATTCAAAAATAACTTTTGTAGATGCGCTACCATCTATAGTTCACATTTGACAACAGATTTTTTTAATATTTTTTAACAGGTATGAGCTAGGAAAAACCAACGCACTGTTGCAGGACCCTGTATATAACCAAATACTATAATATTGAATCGAAAATTTTTGTGGCTCTTAAAAACCTGGGAAATTTTGACTCTTCCGTTTCAATAGGTTGCTGATAGGGAATGTAATAAGTGATCAATGTAAAATTTTTTTCTATAAAAAATAAACCAGGTTTCATTTGAAAAAAATTAACTTTTTAAGGTTTAAAGTTATTAAAATTGAATTGACCATTACTTTTAAAATACCCTGTAAAAGGACGATTAAAATTTAAGTCATTTTCACGTAGTATCAAGTCATATTAAAAAAAAAACTGTTTGATACTAGGGATGCCGCGGGTACCTAGCAACTACGTGGTATCCAGCCATTTTTGCCCAATCGCGACCTTTGTAAAAAAATATAAAAAATCTTACAAAAAACGTAAATTGGTTTTAATTTTCATTTTCATTACATTATCCCAGCTATTATCATACACAATCAAATTAAACTTTCATACTATTTTTATTATTATATAATACAACAAAAAACTACCTCTTTTTAAAATAAAATCCACACAATTAATTTAGAAAAATACTAAACCGACAAGCAGGTTACTGTAAAATGCACTATACCGTACTTGTTTTTTACTTTTGACCTCTAAGTTAACAATAGTAGTAATCGTAGTTACTGGTGTCTCGACGAACATTTTACAAAAAAAACCACACCATTTCACATCAAACCGTTTGGGATAAAATCGATGTATGGACGGGCAGAGGGATAAGACATTCCCATAATGTGCCTTTACAAAATAGTAGCTTGCTGTACACAGTACTAGCAGGTGACCATAAATAAATTGCAATAACTTCTCGTTTAAAATTCTCATTTTTAGGGGTATTATAGCAGTTTTTATGGTAGTCAAATTATAGTTATATTTATAGTCGGATATCCGATACCCGGTCACTGTTGTGTATTAGCATGACATTTTGGAAAAGTAGGAGTTGCTGTATTCCTATATAGAATAATATAGGTACGTTTATTATTTTTGATAAGTCGTATATACAAGATGTGTGACAATGAATGTCTAATGTAAGAACCTGTGATACTCATCTACATAATTTTAACTTATCTATATGTTGTGTCACGTGAGTTTAATGTTTTTTATGTATGACGCGTCCTATGTACTTGTTGTATGCCAAAGGAAAAGAATTGAATTGAATCTCGTCGTTAAATATACAGGGTGATCCCAACTATGATGTTAATACGGAAGGGGCCAATTCTTTGGTTTATTTTATGACTAAACGTTCGTATAAACATAGGCCGCAAACAGTTCGTTACCAATCTACAGGGTGTTAAAATTTCAAGATTTTTTAAGTGTTTTATATTTCCTGAATTTTTTTTCGCTTAAATTTGAAATACGTCTTAAATCATTGTCGTGTCAATGGTAGTGAGATACTACAAGGGTGCTGTTTTGTCAGGAGTCATGTTCTATTTTCTACCCCTGAACTTTTTTATTTGGATCATCCCTTGTTTCTATTGGTCTTGATAGGTCACAGATTTGAAATTGCATCTCGTGTTTGCATATGTTTATAAATTCAAGGCATCGAAGTGTTGTTTATATGAACTTTTAATCATAAAATAAGGCAAAGAATTAGCCCCTTCTGTATTTAGATCCCATTTAGGAACACCTTTTATATAGTGTACACAGCAAATTTTGTAAAATGTTTCCCAGAAAAGAATTGCAGTTGGAATTCTTTTGGAATTGTCAAAAGTTCTTGGACACTGTTTTTTCAAAAATGGGAAACGAACACCCAACAGAGTAGGAGATTGTGTGGTAATCTTAGCTTATTTAAACTTTGTCGTCCTGTAGTTGAATTTTCCACAAGGACAATACATTTAATTATTATTATGAATTGAGTATTACCTACTTCATTTGTTAATGTTTTGTAATGTTAGTCAACTGCTCTGTGCTACTTTTCTGTCCATTTTCCTTATGCCAGAGAGCTAAATTTCTTATATAACCCATGGAATAATCGTTTAGGGATTTTGCACTAAAGTGCAGCACATTTTCAAATTTTATCGTCGGTTTGTCACACTTATGGTATACCATACAAAACCGATGTAGACAAAAGTTCAAAGAAAATAAACTTATGACATTTCCATGTTTGTATATTTTCTATGCACTAATTCAGGGGTGCTCAATCGCGAGTGCTGTTTGAGTCAATCTCTAGAAATACCTATCAGTAGCAGATATATTCTTTAAAAGCAATGACTCCCCAGTTGAATTTTGATTTATTGAGGAAGAATTATCAAATATTTTGGGCGAATCTGAAAGATGTTTTTAGTATGAGTCATCTGTTTCGGGTACATGCAGGTAATAGCTACTGACATTGCAAATTAGTTTAACATGGACTCATCTTCGGTTGATTTGGGATATGTGAAGATGAATATCCGAATCGAGATCCGAATCAAAAGCAAATCGCTCTTCAGTTGGCGGCAATGTTTGATGCACCTTAGTTGTGTGATGAAAAGTCATACCTACGTTTATGTAAAATGTATAATAAATTTCCAAACTCTTTTAAGTCTGCCATAACAGACCACATTAAATTGAAATTAAAAGAAATGTTAATTCAAGAAACTTGTTACTCAATTGATGAAGGCTTTTTGCACTATTGCGAATTTGAAGTGTAAAATTCTCTTGTATTATTAACACATATAATAATAATAAATAATAATAATTATTATTAGTAACTACAAGGTTTGGTCAAACTTAAATTGGTTAAATCAAAAGTTAAAAATATTTGTTCATTTAAGAAATACGGGGGAAAATAAAAAAGTTGTCAATTTCAAAGTGACCCTATAATTTCTTAATTAAAAGAGATACAGAAAAACGTTTTTTTATAATGATCGTTGAGTAAGTACACAGCGTCAGGTAAAAAAGTTATCGGACGTAACCTCATTTTTTGAATGGAACACCCTGTATACTTTGATCTAAAAAGATACCGCATTTTAAGTGATGTCACCCACAGCTTACTGGAATTGAACTATACTTTTGTACAGATTTGTATGAAAGCAAGTAATTTTTAATTTTATTTGACTTTATTTTTGGGTGCACTTTCGGCCGTAACAGCTCTAGTCGTAACCCACTAAACACACCTACAAAACTTCTGTAGGTACCCAAGCCCAAATTCAAAACGAGAGATAGAGACCTTTTTGTTTGTACCCAAGCATGTACTCACTCCGGTATTGATTTATATTTTATTATAAAAGCAGTACGATAGTTAAATATAATGCAACCTAAATAAAATAAGTAGATCGACGAAAAACAATTATGAAGGATTGTATTACCAACGTATCGCACTCATAGACAAACAGGAACCGGAGCAAATTGGAAAACGATTGATTTAGTCTTATCATTAGGCCGTTACATATTGGGTTCCAAAAAAGTAATTAATCATATCCGAGATCATATCTTAAGAGTCAACCATTGACTTTGGTCCATAAATATCAATGATGACATCTTTTGAACAAAAAGATATTTAACATTAAAAAGGTTGGTGCATAAAAAAATTGAGTTTAGTCGTTTTCATGTAATATTGGTGCATAAATAATTATTTTACCAACCTAAAGGGAGGTAAAACAATGTTTGATAGTTGCGTATGTTAAAAAGTCAACGAACAAATGAAAATAAAAGTGAAGACAAAAGCACTGTCGGAGGTTGTGCTAAAAATAAATGTCTGCCTACTTAGTGCACAATTCTATATCTATCTGTATGCAGTTTCTCAAAAATTAGGAGAGTGGTGAAACATACATCCATCCGTCTGGATGATTAAGCATATAGAATGGAGTGTTGAAAGAGGGTGTTCATAAATAGTAATACATATTAATATTTCACACAATAACTCAAATGAGACAAAAGAGGATACTGAACACTGTGGATCAATGAGTTCCATTGAGATCCCTTTTGGAAATCCGCAGAATATTTATGCTACAATGTCAATCCAGAAAATAATTTCCTTGATATTTGAGAGAATTTTGTGATCTATTTTTAATGTCAAATGGTGCTCAATAAAGTGTTGACCCTCAAAATATGTTGACTATATGACGAACTCACAGTCAGGGAAATCATACATGATTACTCAAATACAAAAATGTGTACCATAGAGTACCATATTCCAAACCATCTTCTTAGGCTTAAAATTAGCTTATACCTACGATATATATAAATCTTTTATCTGTCGACTATTACCATAATTAATATGTTATGGTTTGCAGTGTTCATTAACTGTAGTGACTGGAACGTCTTTTCCAAGAACTGTAGCAATGTTTAGAGAATGTTAGGGAATTTAATGCTGTACAAGACTTTTGCAGATACAAAGTTTAGCAAAACTTGTGTATAGTGTCTGCATGTGGCACATGTCTGCACAAGCTTTTCCCTTTGGGGAATAGTTATCGATATAATTAGATTTGAGTGTATTGTTGTGGTTCTTATGGCCCTCTTCCAGAAATAAAGGATGCAGTTACCCATCTAATATTTTCCTATCCTTTTCAAATGATCATGGCAAGCAAAATAGCTAGCTTTTCACATGTCCTCAGAAAAGAGCAAAAGTATCTTAATTGGCTTGTTTCTTGATCTCATAATTGCGAGCATAATTGCAATGCCATATTCTTTGCCAGTAGCGAACAAACCTTCAAGATTCAGTTTATGGAGAAATACATAAACCTTATAAAAGCAACAAGAGAAAGAAAACACTAGCTTTGCGAACTTTTTTATTTAAAACAATTCTAGACTGTATCGTATGAAGAGCATAAAGATGAGAAGAGATTCGAACAGCTGTTTAATCACGAGAATGGTATTAGAAGTATAGATTTATTACAAACGAGAGCAATTCGGAAGTTACGATTGCCAGCTCAGAATGCAAATAAATACACTTCTGTGTTAGCATAACCTCACTTCACTTTCTTATAAACAAAATCACCATAGCTACACAAATAAACATAATACCTACTCATGCTCTCTAAAGCAATATTCTAAATAATTGTAGAAAACTTACGTTGCATATGAATAAGTTGTCGAGGTTGCTTATAGTTTGCGGGATAGAGCTTTTGATAGGCCTCTTCATCTGAAATGGCAGTCACCTCGGGTGTGGGAATGATAAGCCCCGCACAAATTGCACGTTGCAAATGATGCTCCTAATAAAGTATTTATTGTAAATACTCGCTAATGAAAAAGGATGGTTCAGTAAAAGTTAAAGGTAAGTGCTACATGAATTCGTTATAATCAGCTGACAGCTCGAGAAATTATATTAATAGCGCTTAAATTTGAATTTTACTCGTAAATCGCTTATCAAATTTGTATTTAAGTGAAAAATTGCTGTTAAAATGTTGTTTTGTATTTGTATTTTGCCGGGCGCATGTAGCGCCAATGAAATCCAATATGGTTGACACTTTCCTTTAAACAACTGTCCGGGATGTCAGATTCATGTATAAAACTTACACATTCCTCCTCTTTTTCCATTCCAGACGGCATTTGAGGAACAGCCCGGTTAATCGCTGAGTAATCAGGAAGATCCGGGAGTTCCTCCGCCATGAAAATTGGCATTGGTTTGCTAGCATCGAGGGCCCTCGCCCTAAACGAAAGCTTGGACATATTTGTTGACAGCTCACACCACACGACAAGGCCAACATATAAATACACCTTAAAATCGACCTTCCCGTGCCTCGGACCGTCCGAGACGGGCACTAAACGATTCTTTGTATTCTTTAGTACGTTCCCATTGTTTTTGTTTACACGCACTCAGTCACAAATACAGTAAAACAACTTCGAAACTTTGCATGTTAAGCGTGTAATACAGATAGCCATCATGGCGGCTCTGCCTTGGAACCATATAAATTTTACAACCAACACGCAGTGCGCGGGAATCTTTTACGCATCTAGTGTAGAGTGTGGTTCATTCATACTGAATGTATCCAATATTTATATATTACCATAACAACAACTAATCGAATTCGCATAATTACATTCGATGTACGGAAGGTATTTCCTTATCACAAATCGTCACCTCGCATGCAAAAATAACCCTCAAAAACCGTGAATAAGATACAACAAAGTGCCTGCATTGACTAGCGAGTTGAACAACTCGTATATTAAGATGGACCCACACGAATAGTTCCGAGATGGAAAAAACTATTAAAATTCCATTATGATTAATTTTTCTCATTCCAAATTATTTGCACTTCGTTATTTATGGCCAAATTCGTAGTTACGCCGGCAACGTATTAAATGACAACTCGTAATATACTTCATTTTCTTGTGAAAAATCTCGAATCGTAACGTACCGACATTAGAGCGATATTTTAGAGTGGGGGTGAATACACGGAAATTCCCACTACTTTTCAGGGCAGGGACGTTGTTACCACATATGACGTAATTGCTACACGTGGAGGTTTCCCAGTTTGGTGACTAATTTTTCGATACTACTCAGTACACTATGCGACATCTACTGGACGTATGGTTCGTTGTGGTAGAAAACTGTAATTTAGGATTTTTCACATAAAACAGTGGCGTAACATGTGCCCGGTTTTTAGCGCTGAAATATCAATCAACCTTTATTTAAGCGTTTTATGTGGCACGAATCAATTGAATTGGAATGTAATTACACCAAACTTTCTTTTGTAATAAAAAGAATGCACTCTATAAACAATAAGCAATTAGGTAGATAGGTATCATTGCATAGATATATAAGGTGGAAAAAGGAATAAGAAATATTTCATGATGGTAATATGGGAAAAAAAGTTCGCGTAAGCATCCGCCTAATTCTTTCTTGGTTTGATGGCGTTGACTTTCATACACACACTATGACATTCTTATTTTAAGACATTTAAAAGAAGTTCATGAATTATCAACTTCAGGAATGACTTTCAGCTTTCAGTCTAAGTGATGCGGGAATAATACAATAGTAATGCCCCAGATATACGTATAATGCCGAAAACCCAAAAGTTCTATGATATTCCGTTGCTATGAGGTCTCGATCGATTTATAAAAGGCGCCCAAACAGCCGAAAGTTAGTGAAACAATAAGGTGCTTGTTGAGAATCAATCATCAAATGCGCAAAAAATTATCCTTTTCCGTTCCATTGTAATAATCGTTCACTTGATGAATAGAGTGAGCTGGTCTCTCTCTTTTTATGGTCGGTGCCTATCGGTTTATACCCTGGTTCATACTCTGTGATCAAATTTTGTAGGAATGGTACGTGTGCCCAATTAAAATTGTAGGTAGTAATAAATTACGTTACGTTTCTACAAAAAAAAATTTCAGTTACATCATAATTATTGTTTTAAAGGTGGGCAGGAAACGTTGATTACACCACGACGGTGGTATTCCCCTTATCAAGTTAGTGATAGTAATGTCCTGCGGACATACATTGGGAAGTACAATATGCAGTGCAGATTCGAAAGATGTGGCTCCCTCACTACTCAAACTCAATGTAGCTATGAAGTCCGGTTTTTATTTTTAAATAAAAGAAAAGATCTCAGCATTGGAAATTCATAAATACCAGATTAATATCTTATTTTATAGTGCAAATTTCAGTAAAATTTGCATTTATTTCCTAGAAACACATTTAGCTTGATGAGCAAGAATGTAAATTTTGGCAATTCCTGTCTGGTCCTGGTGTTTCAACCAGAACTGGCTCTACCGCTAACTTTCTAGCTACAAAACGCTCTAAACTAATTTATTATGAAGCCCTTTTTTTTCAGGATTAGGTATAATCTTCAATTGAGAAAATGGAGAACAGAAAATTGAACCTCGGACCATCATATCGAGATATTCAATAAAATAACATTTTTTTAATGGGCATATCACCGCATTGGAGGAGGAGTAATCCCACAAAATATCAAACCTTCTAAAATCTAAATTATTTCCATCATACAACAATCGTTGAGCCTTCGCTTTTACTTTTCGTTTATTCTCTTATACATGGTTGCCATTGCCATACGTCTGATAATGGAAAAAGAACACGTGATTTGATATAATTCGTTGAGTGTGCTCCACATTTTTTTTTCGATCTGCTTGAGTTAGTTTCCTAACCATTTAATACATGCTTCCATAAATTACTTAATGGGTAATTTTTAACAATTTCAAAACATACAGAATTATATCTAGGTACTCAAAATCGGATTTTTTCGGATAAACTCAACCCTCTTGGAGCGGATTATGAAATTGATGTGCTTCCTTTTAGAAAAGATTTGTTTCGGCCGAGGATCCTCGGACCTGTTGCCTTGTCAATGTTTGATTGATGTAATTGGCAACTCCACAAAGTAGGAGAAATGTGTTACAATAGTATATTGAAAGACAAGTGTTACAATGCGACCTATTGTAATACGACTATCTTGTGGCACGAGTGGCGACGCCAAGCGTAGCCACGAGTGTCCGCAAGATAGGAGTATTACAATAAAGCATTGTAACACGCGTTTTTCATACTATTTTTTCTATTTCGGTGCTTTAATATCATTATCAGAAACTATAGGGAACATTAGAACTAACATGTTTTATGTTGGGAACACTTTTTATGCCGTTAAGTTTTAGGTTGGCAGCGTAGTAAGACTGACATTTTGAAGTTCAAACATGGAAGTACCCAACGAAGTACCTACTTGTACTAACTAGTAACTGCCAACTTAAGAGATGAGTTACCAAAAAAAAACGACTATAATCACTGTCTTTGTACAACTGTTTTCGGCCCAAAACAGTTGTACAAAATCATCATTGTGACACCGAAATAGAAAAATATTATTATTCATATACCTACATGAGCTATCACTTGAGTTTGGTGGTGCAGCCTTTTTTAATTAAAAATTGTAAATTTATATTTGAGTCTCGTGTAATAGTCCCAAAGGAATCACGATTACACCCAGTTATCATCCATTAAAGTAAAATAATTGAACGAACTCGTCTGTACATTTTTATTGCCATCAATCGACTGCGCGCGTTCTTGTGCGCGACCTTTACGCCATCTCATGTTATATTGTACATATACAAGTAAATTAACTTAAACACTACATATCCCCCGCACTAAAATTAAACTTAACTCTTAATTATTCGATACCTAATTATATCTTAGTCTATCGGGTTCTCTACGTCGCCTTTGTGGTCGTTCAGGTACAATTTCCTCATTTGTAATTTCCACTTCCGAAAAAGTAGTTTCTGGAGAAAGAACTGCAACCTCGGTTGCGTCCTGGTTTTCCATTTTTGGCGAATCTAACATTACATCATTAGTGACCTCTGAACCCTCCTTTTGTGTCCGGTCAATATTTTGTGAAAAGTGACTATTTGGCATTTCCTCATGATTAATTTTGCGTATTTGATTAGCATGTCTTTTCGACAAAATATTCCCGTGCACCTGTACAATGTAAACATTTCTACCTTTTTTACAATTTATTTTTGCTTTGGTCCATCTAGGTTTACTGAAACTATAATCTCTAACAAACACATCTTCACCTTTACAAAAATTAACAATCCTTCGTCCTTTATAATACCTCTCATTTTGCGTTTGTCGTTTCTTTAAATTTGCACGTACAATATTTACATCCAAATTATTTCGAACATTAAAATTAGGTTTCAATAAATCTAATCTAGACCTCAAAGGTCGTCATTAAACGAGCAGGCGTTTCATCTGTCGAGCAATGTCTTTTTTTTTATTCGTTACGAACGAGGGTTAGGCACAATTAATGAAATTCGAGAAGATTTGAAAAAACCGAGTTGAGACCAGGGCCCCGGACCCAAATGAAATATCGGTTCCGGTTCTGTTTATATTTAAGCGAAAATATTTATAACGGTTCCGGTCCGGTTTCGGTTCGAAAAAGAAATAACGGTTCGGTTCTGCGCATTTTTTTCGGTCCATAACGGTTATTTTCGGTTCTAGTTTTTCAGAAAGTATGGCATTCAAAAAATTCAAGAGGGATATAGGAGGAAGAGGGAAATATGTATTTACACTTAATTTATTACTAAAAAACGGAAAATTTTATCTTCTAAAACCTCGCCCCTCCTTTTTTATTTTTTTTAAGTAGTGGCTAAATTAGTGCCACCGCCACCCGTAATGCCTTCAATTTCGACACCTTATTAAAAATTTATAATCCACCGATGGCAATCATAGAGTAATATTTTATCAACTTTCAGGACGTGGTTGCCGGCGCGTCCTTCAACTTCCAATAACCTGTTAAGAACCGTAAAAAAACCGAAAAAAGTAATATAGGTTCCGGTGTTCAATACGTTTTCATTTCTGAAGGAATAACGTTTTCGGTTCGGTTTTCGGTGCAGAAAAAATACCGGTTTCGGTCCGGTTTTCGGTTCTTTTTCGGTCCGGTCCGCGTGCCTGGTTGAGACATGGTCATTTGAGAGTGTTTTAGAAAATATTCACTTCCATTGAAATAATTTCTATCTGAATCTTGTAAAGTAACAGTATCTGATGCTTTTGTTGTTCGATAAACTTTTAAACATTCATCCATTTCTATGTTGAATGACTCCCATGTAACACTTTCTACTAGGTAGGACTTATTTCGCACCCACAATGAGGTGCGCCATCTTGTGACATACTTAGTTACGACCTTGAAAGGGCCATATCCATAACAAAAAATCTAATTGAAAACTGTCACTTATTCCTATTATTCATTGGCGAAAAAAATGTGAATTTGAGAACTTTCTAACACATTTTTCAAACATGAACATACCCCATGCGTTTTAACCGCCCGTCCATCCGTGTGTATCAAGTGTGACAAAATCTCAGCACTAGGAAGACGTAGATGTCACGCTTCATAAATAAATGCCCCCCGTTAGTGCAGCAATAACCAAATTTTCCAAACTGGTTTTGGATGATCCCCAAATTTGGGCTAAATCTTTATTTATTTCACCGATTTCGTTGGGCGCCTTTTGGTTAAGTTAGTTCCCCATATCATTTATATGCAATTATAATTAGAGTTGTGGAGACCCTTACCCCTCCTTAAAGATCTAAAATTCCTGAATTAGTTCCGCCGAAAATCAATGGAAAAGGCCCCGTCAAATGTTCTGAAATAAAAACTCCCAACATTGACTATAGTCACAGATTAAATTAATTAAATTATTAACCAATTTTGTACCAATACCCAGTAGTCTATTCTTAATCTGTACTTCCTGATGGGAAATACTTCTATACAAAACTCTAAGTCGCACCATTGACTAGGTATTAGTCAATGTTCGCACTCAAAATGGGTTAGTGGGTATAAAACATGTTGAATATTTTCCTCTGCATTTAATAAATTAAAAATCCCCTTAAATTTATAATTGTAAGGTTTACCAAAAAA